TGATTTTTTTGATTTGTTCAAAGATTCATGTCTTGTAATATATGTTAGACATGAGTATTTTTAAGAATTTATACGAACATAGATCAGCTGTATTGTCAAACTAGTTTTTCCAAAAACTGTGTTTTTGACTTAGGAGGGAGGGATGTTAGTTATATAGTGATAAGTCTAGTTACATAATTAGTTAATTGTGGTCTGAATCTTAGTTAAGCTTGGAAGACATACTTCCCTTTAACTATCTTTGCCTTTGATTTATAAAAAGACTTATTGATGTTTCTACTATGTATGAGTGATCTGCCCTTAGAGCGAAATAAACATGTGGATCGTTGAACGGTGTTTTTTTTATTGAGAGTTAAAGAAGATTGAGAAATAGTGACACCCCCAGTGGGATTAAACCCACATAACAATATAATGTCAAAAACGTAGACTCAGTATGCCACACTGATCAGTATATTGAATATTCCTAGTGTGAATATTCTCTAGCTATAGTGGTCACTGATACTAGGGACGACATCGATGCCACTCGGCAAACCTCAGCAGATTCCAGTGCCCTACATCTAGATGTTGAGTAACGTATTCTTTCGAGGTTTGCCGAGTGCATCGATGCGACTTAATAAGCCCCAAATATTTACTTTTTTTCCTTCTGCAAATTAAATTCTAGAAAAATTTTTTTTAAAGCATTAGGCATATAAATAAAGGTGTTTCAAGTATATGTAGATAAAAATATTTCCTATTTACATGTAATGTAAATGGGTATGTAAACTGAGTAAAAGACAGCATTCTGTCCAGACCACTGATCAATATATAATAATAGGACACAGCTCACTAAATATTACTACACCGTCACCTAGGGCGAAAAATTATTTTTTGTCTTTCTCTCCCTTTCCCCCTTTTGCATGGCGATTTTTGTTGACATTTTGGTCCAGAATCGAAGAAAAGGGTTTGAAAATACATTTTCTCTCAGGTTTTGGTGAATATTCATGATTTTGAGGCGGAAGGATACAAGAGTTGAGAGGTTGGTAGGGCCGAAAATTGCATAATTACTTGTCTCTGCTTCCAGCTTGTTTATCTCAAGTTTTTCATGGTGAACCTCGTGTATACATGCTTTTGGGCAAGAGTTTGCCACATGTTGCTCCATCTGTGGCAGAAAGTGTTCTATCCAACGAAAATTTGGGGAAAAGTTAAGAGCCGGTGTAAGAGACGAGAATTAATATTAAAGTCAATGGGGAAATCATTAGTGATCTGTGGCCATATATATATAGATCAGTGGCCCAGACTAGTAGCTTCTAAACAATGCACGCGCCATTAAGCCAATGATTGACGTCTCGTGATCTGTATCTGTATGAGTACATCGAATTAACCACTACTGGCACTTAATCGACGGATGAGGAGGAGCGCTTGATGAAACTAATCACTGTGGAGGCGGGCTTTGAATGTTTCCACAGATGGCGATGTTACTTGATTATCAGAAAGTTTATTCCAGTCTATCACAGTTCTTATAAAAAATGAGTGGTTGTGAGTTAGCGTTTTAGAGCCAATTATCATGTATTCTGTATTTTTGTCGTTCAACTTGAGAAAATTCGTCTTCATCCATTGTTTTATATCATCGATACAGAGCTCAACATAGCACTTACTAACTTTGAAGCTATCGGGGTCGACGGGTCTGAAACTCACATAGATTTGGTTGTCATCTGCGTAGAGGTGGAATGAGAGACCATATTTCTTGACGATCGAGCCTAGTGGAGATGTGTAAAGACTAAACAACACCGGTCCAAGCACAGAACCCTGTGGAACACCGAATTCTAGATCCTTAGTCGAAGAACTGGAATCTCTTACACTGACAGTCTGATTTCGGCCGGTTAGGTAAGAGTTTCAGTGCGTTACCGGAAATGCCAAAACTTGTTCTAAGTCTTTCTAGAAGAATATCTTGATCCATGGTGTCAAACGCAGATGACAGATCGAGTAATATTAGTAGCACAGACTGATGGTCATCAATTGAAAGAGAGATATCATTGTGTACTCTCAGAAGAGCCGTCTCGGTGCTGTGGTATATGCGATACGCACTTTGGAAGATCTCTAATGGATTGTAGTCACTAATGTGATCAACGATTTGATGACAGATGACTTTCTCAAGTAGCTTAGATACAAAACTTAAATTAGAGATTGGGCGGTAGTTCTTCAAAATGTTCTTATCAAGTGTTGCTTTCTTAAGCAATGGCGTGACCACAGCAGACTTAAAAATGCCAGGCACTACACCCTCTATTATTGCAGAATTAAAAAGTTCTGTAACAACTGTAATAATTCAGGAAGACAATCCTGAAGGAACTGTGTAGGAATAGGGTCCAATTTACAGGTTTTGGAAGCACATTTCAGAACAAGTTTGGAAACGTCGGATTCAGTTTGGAGGGCAGAATCAATCAATGTGGGGGGCGAAACCGGAATAGGTAGAAATATACTATTAATAAACATATTAAATTTCATTCAGTATGAAAATAGAAGAGAAATAAATACTTTTTAAAATTTTCTAAACGCATACTCAGTGTTTTCGACTAAAATCGTCGGTGTAGGAATTAAAATGTCGGTTAATCAGGTTAGTACCTGTTCTCGAGCGGAGCTAACTGTAGACGGGCAGCCTAAGTTTGGTATGTCATCTTTACAGAGCCAGTCTTCGCAATACCTCTGTGAAACAGATTGTCAGTTCGCATAGAGAGAAATGGGGTTTAACGTCCATTCGACACAACTAGGTCATTTCGGGACTAACACATGGTTCAATTTTATCTCAACAATTCGCTTGTGCGTAGATCTTTAGCAGTGAGAGAAAACCAAACGCCCCGGAGAAAACCTACGAGGTTGGAAAAGCGACCCTACTTCTTGTTACGCACAAGAATCGAAACCACGCCAGTTGACTCAATGACAGACCTTATGACAGCGCGCACGTGTTAACCATTGTCCCATCCAACCCCACATTTAGATATAAAAAAATCACGCTGATCAGCGTTTATGCAAATTTGGACTTAAACTAGATTGAATATACGATCCGAGCAACATTTTTGCTAAACTGTAGCAAGTTGGAAGAAATACGCAAAACTCATTTATACCCACCTTCTCAGTAAATCCTTAGATTTCCTACAATTTTATTAATCTCTTTAACCCACCAAAATCGATTGCCAAGGCAGTGGCTTTATGTGCTTTTGGCTTTTGAGAAGAAATTTAAATCAATTTTGGTGGCAACTGCGTGTTACTGAAACCCTATAGGTCTACATATATATACATGCAAGCCATACTATACTGTCTGTATGAATGTATTACTTGTGTGTTCATGTCTAAAGTGTTGTCTTTGTAGAAGTGTAATATCATGGACCGTGTATCCATATACGGTCCATGATAGTATGTATGCATGCTGTCCTTAATGGACGTTTTGATGCAATAAACACGTTATGTTTAATTTTCATACTGCCCGAAAGTGGTGTTTATGTAATAAAATACCAGTTTTTCTACCTATGCCATAATGTAAATTTACATGCTGCCCGAAAAGGTTTTTTTTTATGTAATACTCTATCAAAAATATATCTATGCAATAAACAACAAACGGATCGGGGGATATAATAAGTGTGGAATTAAAATGTCCTCGGTGGTCTTTTAGCCCCAATTTTCGCGAGCGGGCTATTTCGAATGCAAACTCCAGTTCAAAAAGTTTATAAGTTCAAAACAATGTGATATAATAATAATAATAGTTTATTCACAACTGCATGTAAGCATTGTGGTGCATTACCATATCTGATTAGATATGGGGGATCACGTGGCTAAGACGCATGGCTCGCTAGCCTGGAGGTCGGGAGTCGATCCCTCAATGACCGAGAAAGTTCATCCAGATTTTCCGGCGTGGTTTCCCCTTGTCAGTGTTGGAGGATGGAGGGCCGGACAAGGACAGCGGTCTAGTCGTTCGGATGGGACAAAAATCCGAGGTCCCGTGTACACATTGGCGTGCACGTAAAAGATCCCTTGGCAGTTGGAATTCGATATAAGAGTAGACCGTAGCGCCGCTGCCCGGGCAAAATTTCCCTCATAGCACACTGTATGGCGTATGCCCGTCTTCATTAACCCAGGTTAGGAGCAGAACAGTAGGACGTTAAACCCCATTTCATTTCTGATTAGATATCTTACAAAATAACCTTAATTTTCCAGACATGCGTGGTACATATTAGATGTAATCGTCAATTAAACATACATTATGCAAGAGCTAAATAATCCTATTGCTGGTCTTTCTTTATGCCTGAATTATTATATAAACTATTAATTAGATATTTATTAACATGAAAAGACCATATAATCAACTCTCGATGCCATCTTATGTGTCGGATTTTCACTGGATTTGAATCCGTTTTGCTGCTCAACTCTAATTGATGAGTTATCCAAAAATGGATAATCGAGACTATGTTTTTCATTGTACCGACCGACTTTAGTAATCGAGGCTAGGCCTGAAATTCAAATTCTAATATCTCGGTTCAGAGCTGTACCGTGGAGCAATTTGACTGAAATTTTCAAATTATACCTTTTACATTATCTACATTTGTACATGCGCTCTTCATTATTCATTAGTATATTAAGTTGAACTGAATCAGTTATATGATGTTTGATAAATGGAGAGAGATATCTCAAATTATCATAAAATTGACAATTATTATAACAAGAAATGTTTTTCATTTTACATAATCTCTCATTGCGAGGAATGAAGGGTTTACACTGTATCTACCCTTTCCAACTTCCAGTTTAACATAATATTAGCATAGCCAGTTAAATGCCAATGCTATAAATACTATACATGTCGTTCAAAGCAAAAAATACTGTAGAATTTGAAAACAGTTCACGTATAGCCCAATAAAAGTGCAAAAATTTATCACACCACGATTGGTCGTTTCTGGATCAGCTATCGACCTTGGCTTTCTTTTGAAGCAGACGAATCTCGAGCAAACCAGTTCTGATCTGTTATTCTGTCAATTAACCGATAAAACTACGCTGACAGCTTAAATGCGAAATTGCTCTGACATTTTGTTAGTATACAGTGAATTCTAGTATGGCAAACATGTCTAAAACGACACGCATACTGAAGCACAAAAATCTTTTCAACGATGTCTTCAAACGTCAATACAGTGGTAAGTAGATTTTGATAATATTAAACGGTCAATATTCATCTGTTGTCATGTGACCCATATATAAATAATGTTTAAATGATATAGGCTACCCCTCCGCGCATAAGGGATTGTGGAGGTACCTGTTTTCTTTTCTTCCTCTTCCTTCTTTTCTTTATGTCCTTCTCAGGATTAAAACTTTTCACAGAATTATCGATTATATTGTACCCTGGCTGATTTAGGACGTATGCAAAACAATATTTTCTCAGGATATTTATTCCTTTAAAGATTATTCCAATGAAGTATATTGATGAATAGGTTGCAGTAAGGCCTATCTGTCTGAAATACTTAGCCTATAGGCTATATATATATAATATATATATATATATATATATATATATATATATATATGAAAATGTGTTGCTAAAATATAACACCATGTATGGAGAGAGAGAGAGACAGAGAAAGGAGGAGAGAGAGAATAGGGATAAGTTCACTTGACACAAACTGGGTCATTTTGGGACTAACTTAAGGTAATTTAATTTAATTTGCATGCACCTAATGCCATATGGGTCTTAAGCAGTGGCAAATAAAGATGAATGTTTGCAGTGTGCTAATTTTGTCCAGTCAGGAAATAAATTCCAATTGTCAATTGTCCTTTTACTGTTTTCCATCCCATCTGAAAGACTAGACACTCTTTCTTGTCAGATCCTCCATGTTAGTGAGCCAGTGCCTTACCCACAGAGCCAGTGGCTCCCTGTATTGTAAGTGATCGATCAACTGATTATCCCACAGATTTGATTGAATTATCTCTTGCACTTGACTTAATTTTCTCGATCCCTCAACTTGATTATCTTGCACTCTTGAGAAAAAAATATTTTTTTGCATATCCTAAATCAGTCACCATGATATTGTCTGTATTTGTCAGGTCTGTATAAACTTTCAATTTGTAATAAATCTTTATCTGGTATAGATAATGTCACTTCACAATGTGTGCCTTGACTCATTTGATGATGGGTTGAACGCTTTGACATTGAAATCAGATAAACCACAAATGAGAGATTATATATTTTTCACATTTTGATATATATCAGGGACGTACAATATAAAAATATTTATATTTTCATAAAATTTAATCATTTCTCATAAAATTATCATAAAATGGAAAAATATCATAAAAAATATAAAATCTGACTATTTCTCATCAAATGAGACGAACAGTGTTCAGTCAATGTTATGTGGGTATATGAACACATACAGGGCCCTCACTTAGAAGGCTGAGGGGGGGGGCATATGCCCGGGGGTGACACTTCTTAAGGGGTGGCAAATTATGTAAGTGCATCCAGAAATATTTAAAATTTGACCCTTTGAATATTTATGGACTAGCCTCCTTGGAGGCTGAGATAGAAAATCACCGACCTTTGCTTCCCCATTGAACTGTGTAAACAAGTTCATATTTCAACAGTCTCTAAGACTGATATTCAGTACAACAGACTAATTAATTACACAACACTGCTGGGGAAAGTAAACAGTTATAAACTCATTAATCTAGACAGACCATTTTAAACTTTGCAACAAATTATATAAGTGCATACCAGAAATATGTAAAGCTAGGGGACTCTTTCAATGAATATTTATGGACTATAGACTTCTTGGAGGCAGAGATAGCAAATCGGTGGCCTTCACTTCCACATAAACATGTGTAAACCAGTTCATATTTCAGCAAATAGAGAGGGTTTTTCCAAGATATATTAAGGTTTTTTTTTGATCAAATGGAGAGTTGAAGGGGAATAAATATAAGAATTTTACGTATAAGTTGATTTAATAAATACAATGTAGTTATTTAGATTAAGTGTTAAAAGTATAAAAGATAGGTTGACAAGCAACAAACCATACGCCTACAGCAGCTAAGTCTTCCGGGGAGTCAACAGGGGTTATCGCATATTTTTTTCTTTGTCAGAAATGAAAACATTTACAACATACTAAAATCTGGTAACGAGTAACAACCCATTTGGCTTCTAGTTCTGCCCTATTCTAACATTTACCATACAAAAAATTTAATATCAATTGCCATAATCATCGTAAATCATTGAAAATCGATAGGCTTCTTATCCTCTAGAGTGCCCACAAGACTTTTCACAGAGGGACCAAGGGCCATAACTCCCACCCCATTGCATACTGTAACTGTTTTGTTCAGTGCCTGCACTCTGTTGATGTTTTATGATTAAAAAAATTCTAAAATACAAGGTCCTAAGACGAAGAAGCCTATGTCTATTGATTTTTAACGATTTCCGATAATTACTGTCAGAGTTATGACCCTTGATCACACTAAAAAAATCTTGTGGGCATATTGGAGGATAACGTTAATATCCTATTTACTTTGAATTTATACACAGTGTTTAAGGTCATGAGGTGAAGAATCCTATTGATTTCTAACGATTTCCGATAATTATTGCCAGAGTTATGGCCCTTGATCACCTTGAAATACCTTGTGGACAATCTATAGGCTAAAGTTAATATCTGATTGACTTAAATTTATACACAGTGTTTCAGGTCATGAGACGAAGAAACCTATTGATTTTCAACAATTTCCAATAATTACTGTTAGAGTTATGACCCTTGATCCCTTTGTGTTTGGCCCTTTACCTAAAAGGTTTGCCCACCACTGCTCTAGAGGGTAAAGTTAATATCTGATTGACTCTAAATTTATACACAGTGTGTAAGACCAGGAGACAAAGAAGCCTAGTGATTTTCATTGATTTCTAATAATTACTGCCTGAGTTATGGTCATTGATCACTTTGAAAAATCTTGTGGATGATCTAGAGACCAAAGTTATTTTGATAACTTGAACAGCTAAATCCATGATATTGAATGTTTCATATAACCTTAGCATGGGGCAGAACTAAAAGCCAAACCAATTCTATTCTGATAATTACTTAATGAGTTGTTACTTTTAATCAGATTTTAGTGTATTATAATGTTTCATTACCGACAATAGAAAAAAATATGTGACATCTCTTGTTGACTGCTCAGACGACTTAGCTACTGCGGGCGTATGTTTCGTTGCCTGGCAACCTATCTTTTAATGTTTCAGCATGTCTCACCTTCCTTACGGGTCCACCTCTGAGAAAGATATTAAGATTTGTCTGAAATGTATTAGCTTTTATAGTCATAAATTCAATATTTATTTTTCATACTGACAAATCAAACCTCTAGAGGTGGTCCCATGACTTTGTTTATATTTTCTTCTAGATTAATGGATTAATTTTCTTTACAGCAGATGGTTGGTGTGTTTCAACCAAACCAAACAACTTGTCTTCTCCGTGTCATGAGGTATCCAGTGCTAGGCTTTCATTATGTATTTAAAAAAACTCATTTCTTCTAAAAAAAAAAAATACTATTTTAATACATTAATTGGGATTTTGGGGTAGGCGCTTTTTAAAAAGAATTATTACTGCTAATATAACACTTTAATAGTTATTATTCAAAGATCAATTACACATTAATGCTATCTTATCTTATTGAATTGAATGAAGTGGGGTTAAATATGGTAATGTGATAAGATTACTGATATGTAAATTAATGTTATCTATATTCTCACAAAGCAAGCAAACAAGTTAAGTGACAGTCAAATGATAGAGTATTACTAACTATGTCCTTCTTGAAGATAATACCCTGTATAAAACATAATCTGAGCACGAATCTCAGTTTAAATTCATTTAAACTGTAGGTCAAGAGATAATATTTAAACTTACATTCTTTGTTCCAATATTCTAAATACCAAATAAAGAAATAAGTACTTTTTTTGCAATTAGCTTATTTAATAATTTAATTCTGCAAGGCCTCGAGGCTAAGAAATCTTTTTATCCCTCGTCCGTGTTTTTACAGTTTTTGGTCATATCCTACCCCAGAAATATTTGATTTTTTTAAAGCCAATGTTTTCATATGGATGTATGTTGTTGCTCCCGCCTGTCCGTCCGTTTAGATACATTGTTTTTGTGGACACTCTACAGGTCACCATTTTTAACAGATTTTGACGATACTTGATATATAGGTTTATGTCCCTAAGATCTTGGTTTCCCTCCATTTTGGCATGTATATTATCGTAACTTCATTGATTATGGCCCCAAATTTTACAATAAAATCACATTTTTCAGCTTGTCACAATTTTTATCCAATTTTGATGAAATTTAAAATAAATATGTCTATATCCCAAAGATCTTCTTGGTTCCTTTCGATATTGATCCTTTTTCCACAATAACATCCTGGATTAAGACCCCCGATTGTACGAAAAATCTTGTTTTTAACTTGTTCATTGTCTATCTCTTGCAAAATATGGGCGTATCGTGCATGGCAACCACTTTTTTAGTTTATATTTCAAAGTGGGGATGTGATGGGCGGGGGGATATTAAAGACGAAATAAATAAAAAAAATAAAATCTGCTCGATTACTGGTGACTTATCTTTCATTTGTCATTTATTTTTTTCTTTGTTATCATATTCATAGATTATATAGAAAGAAAGAGATTATATCATTTTTATACGCCCACATTTTCATGTGGACGTATATTGTTGTCGCCCCTGTCTGTCCGGCCGTCCACAATTGTTTGTGGACACTCTACAGGTCACAATTCTTATCCGATTTTGACGAAACTTGAAATATAGCTTTATCTCCAAAAAATCTCAGCTGCTTTCGATATTGGCATGTATCGGATCGAAACTTCATGGATTATGGCACTTGTTTGTACGAAAAATCACGGTTTTAGCTTGTGGACCCTATAGCTGTCACAATTTTTATCTGAATTTGTTGAAACTTGAACTGTAAGTTTATAACCCAAAGATCTCGGTTCCTGTCGATATTCGCGCATATCGGACCATATCTTCCTGAATTATGGCCCCTGATTGTACAAAAAATCGCGTTTTTAGCTTGTGGACCCTATAGAAGTCATAATTTTTATCCGATTCAAAAAAACGTATTATTATATCACCGTTACACCCTAAGGACGACTGAGTTCGAATTTTGTAAAAATTGACAGACAAAATTGCCGTCGTTCGTTCAAAACTAGCGTAAAAATATGGTATATCAAGGTTGTGGACCCTATAGAGGTCACAATTTTTATCCGATTTTGTTGAATTATGGCCCTTGATTGTAGGAAAAATCACTTTCTTGTTAGCTTGTTCTCTATCCATCTCTCGAAAATGTGGGCGTATCCTGCCTGGCAGCCGCTGGTTTTAATTAATTTTACCCATGATTAGAATTTGAGTAAAACCTCCAAAGTTTTTCATTCCATAATTTAGTCACTGTAACAGATATTTGTTTTCATTCACAGTTGGTGAATGGGCTGTCCACAAAATTGAAAAATTTGTATTTGAGTAGGAACAATTTTGGTCACATCAAGAGGGTGTGGGTAATTGTACATTTAAAATCAATGGGTATATTCTCTTGATCTAATTTCTAAATAGAAAGACATCAAATCTTATTCCAAATTGGAATGAAAATATAAACATTTTTGCACATATGTTCAATACTAATGTTGATTTAACTTTTTTTTTTTTTTCAGATTTTGTACGTGGAAAAGCTACAGCTGCAGCAAATTTAAAAGAGCCAGTTTTATTTCATGGAGAACCTAGTGGACCAAGTGTTGTTACACCCATACCAGGTCCTCGATCCACAAAGTTAATAAATGAACTAGAAACTATCCAGGTACAATTCAAACACTTACATTCAATATACCTCCTCGTTCTCCTGGTTGGGTGACCGAATGGTTTAATGTGTGCACTTTAAATCATAAGGTCTGTCATTGAGTCAAGTGGCTTGATTTCATTTCCATGCTTGTACGTGACGAGGAGTAGTTTGAGTATCCAACCTGATGGGTTTTCTCCAGGTCCTCCCAATGCTAAAGACTCATGTGTGCAACCGAGTTATTGAAATGAAATTGAACAATAGGCAAGTCCTGAAATGAGACGTTAAACCCCATTTCTCTCTCTCGGCCTTATCTTGTCATATTTTTTTTATATAAAAGAATTTACTATATTTTTGAAAAGATTAGGACAGACATATAAAGACCGTAAAATCTTGTAATAAAATTTATAATTTAATTGTATATAATTATGCTCAAATTTATTTTTTATTTTCTTTACTGGAAGAATATCTTAATTTTAAAATCATTCTTTACAGAATACAGGAGCTGTCCAGTTTTTTGTTGACTATGATCATTGTTTGGGGAATTACCTTTTTGATGCAGACGGAAATGTTCTGTTGGATATGTTTACACAGATTGCTACCATCCCAATTGGTAACTAAATTACATATGTTATATACAAAATAATACAAAAATTGGAAAGAGACAGTAAATTGAACTAAGAAATTGGTGAAAAGTAGGCAGTAGAATATATAAGTTTATTTCAATTTTCAGGATACAGTCACCCAAGATTAATGGCAGCCCTCAGAAAACCAGAAAATATTGTAAGTTGATTTGCATTTTTATGGGCCAACATTAAAATCATGTATGATTCTTGTATACATGCATTTGATCTTATATCTTCATCATTTGTCCATTCTTAGATACCAGTATTCTTTTCCAGTTAAACAAATATTGTATATATTTTAGTTTTTGTACTTAATAAACCAAGGCACAATAAGGCCTTCAGATTAAACATACATGTGTAAATCCACTCTTTGCTTGTGCCATTGTCGTAAGATTTCATTATCTTCTTTTATTTCATGTTTGTTTTTTCTAGGCTTCGTTTGTAAACAGACCTGCGTTAGGATGTTTACCGCCAAGTAATTGGGTTAATAAACTGAAGGATGTTCTCTTAGCTGTGAGTTATTTTTTTTATTAAATTATATCTTTTTAAGCTGTAGCTTTTAGTGGAAGATTGCGTGGGTACAAAAAGTCTGATCAATTTGAAATCTGAAAATGGATTAGGCATATTAATCAAACATTCTGAGAAACATTTTTTATGCAAGACAGATTAGTTTAACAGAAAGATGACATTTTCATCACTAATAGAAATTGTAACTGTACTTCATATTCTGATTATAAAGACAAAAATGTAGTCTATTTAACTTGCCCAGAAAAAAATTCAAATTGAAAATGTTAATACGGGTTTAGCTTGCGGATGAAGTGACCCTTGTGAATACTTTAAAACATTTGTAGAGAGATCGATATGATTAGTTTGAAGAAGGGTTTAATAATCAAAGGATCTATTCTCAGAGGATGGATAGCCTGACATCGTGATGCTAAGCTTGGTGCCAATATCTAGGAGAGCAATCAATAAATAACCGATGTATAGAGAGTATAAGATGAGGATAACGTATTGCCAGTCTAATAAACCTGTCAATTTAAACTTCATTCTGTAGACAGTTCAATATTTCCTTGACAACCCTTATCGGTATACACATAGTGGTGTGCTTTATTCAATAGGGAATATGTTGACCATATGAAGAATGATTTAATTTGATGTTGGACATTGTCAGAATTAATTACCTGTAATTCAGTGAAATATATTTCAGAGCTTCCATTTAATTTTTATACACACACGTTGAAATATGGTTGTATTTTGTCGTCACCCCCATACGTCAGTCCGCCCGTCAATCCGGCGTCCACAATTGCTCTAGAAGCTAAAGTTAATATCTGATTGACTTTAAATTTATACACAGTATTTAAGGTAATGAGAAGAAGGATCCTATTGGTTTTCAAAGATCTCTGATAATTACTGCTAGAGTTATGGCCCTTGGTCCCTCTGTGAAAAGTCTTGTGGTCGCTCTAGATTGACTTTAAATTTATACACAGTATTTAAGGTAATGAGACAAAGAGACTTATTGATTTACAATGATTTCAAGAATTACTGCCAGAGTTATGACCTTTGATCACTTTGAAATATCTTGTGGAAGCTCGAGAGGCTAAAGTTAATATCCGATTGGCTTTATATTTATGTTTTTTTAAGGTCATGAGACGAAGAAGCCTGTTGATTTTCAACGATTTCAAATAACTACTGCCAGTTATGGCCCTTGATATTAAATGCTAATATAGGCCATAGGGCAGAACTATTAGTAAAAGCTAAATGGGTTGTTGCTCATAATCAGATTTTAGTGTGTTGTAAATGTTTTCATTACTGACGAAAGAAAAAAATATATGCAACAACCCTTGTTGACTGACTGGACAACTTTGCTGCTGTGGGAGTATGTTTCATTGCCTGGCAACATATCTTTATATTTTAAATTTCTAAAGGTTATACTTTTCATCAAATATTGACTTAAGAATTAAAAATGTAAATTAATTAAAACAAACATCTTTTAAATGAAAAAATTGAAAAGTTCTCAGTCCTTGTAGAGCTTATAATCAGATCGCCCCTACTTAAATGGGGTCATGTTGCTGCCTCCGTCCCTCTGTCCATCATCCACAATTCCGGGTGAACACTTTATAGATTAAATCTGTATATGTTGTTATCATTAGTGGGACGAAGAAACCTTTTCCAATAATTGTGATAATTACTTCTAAGTTTGCAGAACCTAGTGAACACTCTAAAGAAACAAGTTAACATCTGATCTGTATGAAACTGATGGGCATTATCGAAATCAGTAAAACGAAGACTACTATTTTTTTTCAACAATTTCTAATAATTACTTCTAGACTTATGACCCTTGTTTCACTATGTAGAATCTTGTGAATGTTCTAACGTAACAAGTTATCATCCTATCTGTATTAAATTTATATGCAATATTTAAATCAGTGAAACAAAGAAGCCAATTGAATTTCAACAATTTAGAGTAAATTGTTTCACTTTGTAGAACCATGTGAACACTTAAACGACAAATGTTATCATCCGATCTTTAGTAAATTTATATGCATTATTTAAATTAGTAAAACAAAGAAGATTATCAAATTTCAAAAATTTCTGTTAATTACCTCTAGAGTTATGTTCCTTGTTTTGCTTTGTAGAACGCTCGAACGACAAAATTTATCATCCGATCTGTATTAAATTGATATCAGTGACTTGTAAATGCTTCTATTATCTACAAAAAATAAATATGCGACAATCCTTGTTGACTGCCCAGATGATTTAGCTGCTGTGGGTGTATGTTTGGGCATGCTGGTGTTTAATTTGCATTAAAACATATTTTTAGTGTAGGTTAATTGATCCAAGCCAAAATAAAGTATTGATTTGGATTTATCTGAAGTGGCGTGGGGCAAACTATTTAATGAAATGTTTACCAAACTATATAACTACTAGATTTGATATTTTATTTTGATCAGGTGGCACCTCCAGGTTTAACTAATGTACAGACCATGCAGTGTGGAGCCTGTTCTATTGAACACAGTCAAAAAGCCATCTTTATGTGGTATCAGGTAAGAATTAACTTTCACAAATTTTTCTGGCAAACTTTCTGCTGCGTGGACTTTAGACAAAGAAGAGCTTGTTAAAAGAGAGAATATGGTTATTAACAATTTCTACAACAAGTTTTTAGACAATCCCATGTAAAGTTTATTGAGAAAAGATTTGCATAATGGATCAATTTTAAAAAATATATAAATGTGAGAATCTGTTAAGGATCAGGGGCCTTATTCACGAAAACTTAAACTAAGTTACAATCGAAATTTTAAGAAATACTGCAACTTCATTGGATATATGCAAATTGATTTTACTGGTCAGCCAATCGAATTGCAGTATTTCTTAAAATTTTGATTGTATCTTAGTTTAAGTTTTCATGAATAAGGGCCCAGGCTTTTAAAACAAGTCTATTTTAGTGAGCATTATGGACTACAGTAGATGCGAGAATCTTTATTAATAAAAAAACTCTGGAAATATTTTTGAAATTATTCAGTACATCAAAATAAATAGAATTGCACTTCCAAACAATACTGTGTATTTATAATGAAATAATGTTCCCTGGACGTTCCAAACAGTTCCAGCAAACTTGAAAAAATGCCTAAAACTTCTACTTGTAGACCATTTACAAGAGTTTCTGTGACAGGGGTGGTAACTTTGAATTTTTATGACAAGTCAGATACTCGTAGCAAGTTTGAACTTTTCTATTTGAAAAAACTCAGACCCGCAGAGCATTTACCAGAATAGGGGTTGAACCAACAGGGGTGACAGCAGTATACTCTCACGCAATTTGAACTTCTAGAATGAGGTGGTACAGGGTGTTTAAAAAAGATTAAAAATACATACATGACTAATAGAAGTAAGGGATAAGACTGTGAAGAAGGCAATTACCAGAATATATCATAAATAATGTGATTTGATTTATTGATTATAGAGACACAGAAGAGGAGGCAGACCACCAAATGAAGAAGAATTAAGATCTTGTATAACCAACGAAAAACCTGGTACACCTGAGATCTGTGTTATGTCATTTCATAAAGCTTTCCACGGTAGAACTATGGGTGAGATATATATTTTCATCAGATTGAATATCATTGCTTTTGAATAACATGATTATTATTTTACTATAGTTATGTGTGCAATTCACAGCAGAAACATTTGCCCAGACAGTGGTGTGTCCATCAACACGACTGAATTTTAATCATCAAGTGTTCTTTCACGCCCTCATCAATCTGAAGCGTTTAGGGACCTTTTTTGTCCAACTTAAGAATCTCTAGACTCTAGATACATTTTACATACACGTGTACCACCTCGATAAGTAGGATCCTGACTTGAAAAATAATGGTTGTGGTTAATTAATGCTGAGATTGCATTCTACAGCGTAATAACAATAATATAATTGAAATATAGTCTAGTTGATTCACAAATCACAAATTTAGAATATTAATTCTATATGTTGATTACTTAAATTTTTATCTTTAAATATAAGTTTTTTTGGAACAATGATTGGTAGATGATTTAATATGAAACAAAAGACAAAAAATGCTACATTTAATTTTTCAGGGGCTCTTGCTTTAACTCACACTAAATGGGTTCATAAATTGGATTTCCCTCAACCAAACTGGCCAATAGCCCCATTCCCCGCTCTACAATATCCACTGGACGAGTTTGTTCGTGAAAACAGAGAAGAGGAGGACAGATGCTTGAATACTGTAAGTAGACATACTAATGAAATAAATGTTTTTAAAGGAATATTTGGGTGATGTTTCCTGTACTACTTATAAGTAGATGTATATATCTTGGAATTATTCTGACATTATTCAATCCTATTAATGTAATAAATACAGTCTAATTATTTTGATCAAAAAAAGGTTGATGCCAATGGGATATAATTGTGTTCCAAACCAATTTCTGTCACATATATAGAGCAGTCTGTTTAAGCATACCCGACTCATAAATACCAGTACTTAACTCTTGTTACTTGCTGCTTAACTGAAGTAGAACTTTGAAAACGAATAATCAAGATCTGTTAGATTGAAAATTTAATACTGAATCTGACACTGCAGTGATAACAACACATAAGATTAGTTTCTACTATCAATATATGGAGTCAATAGACAAACATATCTGTCACCAGTAATGTACATATAGCCATTATGTCACAGCCATATCTTTTACATAATGTAAAATATTCTCAAGCATATTTCATCATTTTACTTTGCAGGGTGGACACAGTTTAGGCCTATCTGTGCTAGACACAATTGTCTGTACTTTTCAGTCTGGTCCTAAATTCAGAATGTTTATTTCACAGAATTCAAATCCATCTTCATAGCGTATGTCAACAGAAACAAAATATTCCTTCAATTAAAATGGAAGAAAAATAAAAATGTTGCTGATATAAAATGCCTGAAATGGCAATGTTGAAATTACTTGAGTTAATTTGTGAAATGATGCTTGATGCGCTCAGGGATAATTTGCATAATTGTCGGTAGCTAATTAATAATTATATGCATAATTTATTTAAGGTTCGTGAGTTGTTTGAAAAATGGCGCCTAAAAGGTAATCCTGTTGCTGGTATTGCGGTAGAACCAGTTCAATGTGAAGGGGGTGATAACCATGCTACCCCTTATTTCTTCCAAGGTCTTCAAGATATAGCCAAAGAGGTGAGTTATTTTTGGAAAAGAATGAAATGAAAAATAGTTTGGTCTGTGTTTGCAGTCCACAACTGGCACCTGTATATAAATATTTCTGATATCTACTTCATAGTTTTTATTGTATTTTAAATGGCCTCATTGCCTACAAAATAGAGCTCTATCCCATTACTGTAAGTGGTAAGAAGAAGCGTTAACTACTTAAACTTGGGTCTTTTCTTTGAGTGTCCGTTATCACCCCCCCCCCCACCACACACACACACACACCACCACCAATGCTGCCTACAATAGATCTATCTGTAAAGATTACTATATTTAATATAGTCTTATACTGACCTGCTCAAGTCCATTCTCTATGAATAAATTATTTGCAAAATACGATTAATATTTTGAGTATTGAACATTTAGATGTTTATCTCTTTTCCTATTACAGAATGATGCTGCTTTGTTAATAGATGAAGTACAGACTGGATGTGGAAGTACGGGTAAATTCTGGGCTCATGAACATTTTAATCTTCGAGAAGCCCCAGACTTGGTACCTTTTGCCAAGAAAATGATGACAGGTGGATTCTATTTCAAGAAAGATTTTAAACCAACTGAGGTACAACTTTCACTTAAGCTTTTTTCTACAGCATCAAATGGTCCAAAATATAATAATAAATTGTCTACTAATTTCTTTGTCCACGATTAAAAGTTCTTTGTAATACAGGAAGAAGAAGGAGTGTGAATTGGTGATCGTCTCCTTAAGTCTTTTCAAAAACTGACTGAAATTTAACTCAGTCCAATAATGAAGGGTGCCAGGCTGCAGAGCTGAGGGCACGTGAGATTAGGGTGTTCGGAAGTTGTCGTCAGAGGTGAGAATAATGTAGGTGAGTTCGCGTGTGTGAGTCGAGGCTTCAAGAAAAAAAAAAAAAAAAAATTCAACATTTATGCAGCCATCAGTACAAATATATTATAGATGTAAACTTTGTAATAATATGTTTTTTTATGGCATACATGTAATAACACAATATTTTCTTTGTTTTCTATAAAATAATAATGAAGAAAATCTTTGTTTTCTATACAATAATAAAAAGATATTTTGGAGTATTCTATAAATAATACAATTTTTTATCATTTTCTATTTAAATGTTAATATTTGTTTGTTCTTAACAGCAAAATCCACTTTTTAATATGCCAATACTCTTATTTCATCACGTTTTTTTTCCTTCTTTTTCTAGGGAAATCGAATCTTTACAACCTGGACAGGTGATCCTTCGAAAGTATCCATGTTGGAAGCTGTCGTTGATGTTATTTTTCAAGAAGATCTGGTTACAAACACTGCTATTGTGGGCGATTATTTAATGAGTGTACTTAAAGAACTTCAGGTGAGGATTGATTTTAACTCCAAATGTGAAAGAATAACACTATAATTCCAGGGTTACCGAATATTCAACACCTGGTTTGGAGATCCTGCAAGAATGCCGCTACTTCAGGCAGTGGTGGAGGTGATGCAGGAAGAGAATTTAATTGAGTTGAATGCTAAAGTGGGGAGTTATTTTCTGAAAGGTCTTACAGATCTACAGGTATGTGAGTAGGATGCAGTATAAGTATAAAGCCTTAGCGCTATGTTGGATGTAATGAATTTGCTACAAAACGTCTCTCCTGTCTAATGCTTTGCATTAAATGTAGACTTATGTATGTATATTTTGTTTATGATTTCTTCTTAAAATATTTAAGGAATTGTACATATTTTGATGTAATTTTATGTTCTTATTTAAAATTATTCTTTTTCAATTAAAATATGTGTATGTTTACATATAGTACAAAATAAATAAATAATTTATATCTGTCCATACAAATAGAATATATTAATTATTTTTAGATATTGTATTATTCGTAGTTCAGTTAATTTTGTTTATTAGTTGATGCTATATGCAGTAGTCATTTGTACCCCATTATATCTACGTCTAGCTTAGCATTTCATTTTATTCCAATAGCTGTAAGCATGTCTGTACATTATTAAAAATATTATTTTATAAGCACAAAATTCTTTTTCGTGCTGTCCTTAATTTTCTTCACCTACTTAACTTATTTGTTAATCTAACAAGCATAGTATCTTTCACTTTGTATTGTCGTCAATCTTGTCTGTCAGTCAGTCTGGCGTCCATCAGACTATGATCCGATTGACTTTAGATTTATATACATAATACACAATATCTGTGGTCACAACACCAAAAAACCTATTGATTTTCAAAGATTTCCAATAATTACTGCCAGAGTTATGGCCCTTTATTACTTTGAAAGAAGTTTGATTTTCAGGGATTTCCGATAACTTGAACAGCTAAATTCATGAAATTACACAATTTGTATAATAAATGTTGGCATTGGACAGAACTAGAAGCTGAACAAATTCTAATGATTTCTGATAATTAGCCTACTTTATAGCTTATTATATACTCTTAATCAGTTTTTTTAAATGCCTTCATTACCGATAAAAGAGAAATATGCAATAATCCTTGTGTTTTACTCGGACGACTTAGCTGATGTGGGTGTATGTTTTGTTGCCAGCCAACCTATCTTTAACTTTCTAAAGGGTAGAATTTTGTGCATTTGTTACTTCTAAATTCATCCAGAAAGAGAAATCTATATTCTGAAATGGGAAATGTTATATGTCATATATCAACATAAGTAACCAGTTGTCATGTTATTTTCTTTTTTTTTTTATAACTTTTGTGTTCCTAAATAGATCTCTGCATTTACATACTAATAATACTGTACACCCTATATATTTTTAATATAGTACTCTTTCTTTTTATTGTAAATTAGGATATTCTGTTGATATTAAAACTGGTTAATAAATCAGATTTGAATACTGGTATATGAAAAAAATTATCTAACATTAAATTTTATTAAGGTTTTTTTATATCTTTTATTTAGAAACGTTATCCTGGATTAATAAAGAATGCTCGAGGCTTGGGAACTTTGACTGCCATTGATTTTAATAATGTTGAATCCCGAGATAAAGCTGTTTATAATCTCCGACAAAAAGGTAATTTGTTTTTTCATAATTTTCCTGATATAATCAGACTAGTATTAATATTAAGAATACCACCCGGATAAGATGCCGGAATCCAATCATAACCTGTGGTGGGCCTGGAAGACACAGTGAATAGCTTTCTTACATCTTTGATCAAAAGTTTCTTATACATACTAAAAACCTATACATACTAAAAGAGAGAGAGAGAGAGAAATGGGGTTTAACGTCCACTCGACACAAACTAGGTCATTTTGGGACTAACACAAGGTTCAATTTTATTTCAATAATTCGCTTGCGTGTAGGGGTCTTTAGCTGTGGGAGGAAACCGGAGGACTCCTTGTCAGATACAACCAGGGAATCGAAACCACGATAGTTCACTCAATGATACAGCGTGCATGTGCTAACTATTCGGCCATCCACCCCCACACACACACATACTAAAGGCAACTCAAGCCCCTATGTCACACTCATGACATTAGAATGATGGTAGATTATCTGGGAGGGATCTTTTGCGTCTTGCAAAACAATATTTAATATGGAAATAGTGTATTATATTTAATATTTAGGATGATTTAAGGTGACTTTTGATTTTAGTCAAGTATTGCTACTAATATCTTCCTAATGAATGGAAAAATTGCAATATTGTTGTTCACTGCTGAATGGCTAGTGAGTTTAGTGCATAGTCAGTGAAAGTCTGCAATTCAAGCAAATCAGAGGTTAAAGTTAACAAACTAACTGGGTTAAAAAAGAAATCAAGAACTAAATATACAAGAGATGATGGAGATTAGTTGCTGATGTCTGACAGTACTATTTAATATTTCAGGTGTGTTAGTTGGCGTCTGCGGAGAAATGTCGATGAGATTCAGACCAACTTTAATGTTCCAAAATCACCATGTTGATATTTTTACTGATATTTTCAATGATGTGCTCACAGGACTGAACAAATAAAATAATGCTAATGTGTAATCGTGTATGCATAATTTTTATAGATGCACACTTCTTGATTTATTTTGAATCATGGCTTTTATATATAAAAATATATGTATCCAATCCAATGATAAAAAGTTTAATGTTTCTCAAGGAAAATGCATTAATAGTTATAATGCTCATGAAAGTGAACACAGCATATTAATTATTTTTTTTACTTCATATTATAACCATTCTCATTGTAAATATCTCTATCATCTACAGATTTATTGTCTGCCGATTAGTAGACTGTTTTGATCAATAATACATTCACTTGAAGTGGATAGCTGGCAATAGCCCAATCTTCTATCACTGTTTTATTTCATTGATTTTATATTTTGATTTTGTCATATTGATGATATCATCTAATGAGTAGTTTTTTATAAAAAAATTATAATAAATTATTTTGAAAAGGACTTGTTTTATTATCTCTCAGGCATTTACTAATATGGTCATATTATTTTTGTCTCCCACCTGTCGAAGACAGCAGGGGACTATTAAAATGGGTTTGTCCGTCCGTCTGTCTGTCAAACTTTTTGGGACACAAGAACTTGTTGTAGGTGTTTATTAGGTCGATGCCTTGATGGAGATCGAAGATGAGCATTTTCTGCTTAGGGTAAGCAGAGATAAGCAATTTGATTGGTTGATGCTTTGGGACACGATGACTTCAGTTCTGATTAAATGAAATTGATGTATAGTTTCATTACATCAATACCTTGACTAAGTTTGATAATGAACATTTTCTGCTTGGGGTAAGCAGAGCAATAAGCAATTTGATTAGTCGATTTTTCAAAGTGATCAAGAGCCATAACTCTGGCAGTAATTATCGGAAATCGTTGTAAATCAATAGGGTTTTCGCCTCTTGACCTTAAACAGTGTGTGTGAATTTAAAGTCAATCGCATATTAACTTTAGCCTCTAGAGCGCCCACAAGCAATTGTGGATGATGGACGGACGGCGACAACAATATATGACATTTCATTGTGGGCCACATTTCATTGTGGGCGTATAAAAAGGAACTGACTTTAGGATACATAAACATTGTTGGAGAAAAGTTCTCAATTACCATAAACAATTACAATACTCCCCATAACCTTAAAGAAAACAACAGGTCAATATAAAGGACTTTACAACGGGTGACTTGCTGTCAAAAAAATGATGTATCACTACGCTGAATGTAATCAGTTTCAGTAAATTTAAATCTATACCAAAGAATTAGATTTATTTATTTGTGAGCGTAAGAAAGGGTTGGGTGATAAATAAAATCTGCTACTCGTCTTTTTAGATGACTCCTTTGGAGATTCTCAGTTTCCATGAAATTGATAACACACTGGGAGGCCATGACAATTCAAAATGTCACAGGTTCTTTTATACGCAATCAAATGTGTACACGAACCTGTTTTTCATCCCATCCAAACGACTATACATTGTCCCTTGCCAAGCCCTCCCTCCCAAACCACTGACAAGGGTGTACCCGGCCAGAAAATCTCTATAAACTTTCTTGGCCACGGGATACAGGACCTCTAAGTTAGCAAACCAATGTCTTACTGTGCCACGTATATGACATTGTGCTCATAAAATGAATGTCTTACTTGGGCAATTTTTCTCACCTTTTATTAACTTATTTTAAATACAACAAACTTAAAAGATGGAAATCTGCAGCATCACAAGTATTTACTGCTAAAATCTGGGGGAAAATCATAAACTGCTCAAAATTAGGAAAAATCATAGGAGCTTCCAAAAAATCTGGTATATGTATGAATAATTATTAACCAGGTATTGACAATTCTAAAAGTAGCATGGATTTTATGTGTAGGATAAAGCACCAGACAGGTTATTCTGGGGAAAGAAAGACTGAAGAAAATAACCAGAGAAAAAGAAAAAAACAATGCTGCAAAATGAGATTATCCCATAAGAAAAACCTTAGATCATGTTTCTTATGGAAAAAAAACCTACCCTGGAAGAATAACCTGTTACACGTTTAAAGAAAAACTTTCAGAAGAATAACCCCAAATTTCACTGTATATATCGAAACCCGCCCCTAACTTTCAGACCTCAAGTTATTCTGGGCATAGAATATACCCTGAAGACCAAAGAGATTTACAGTTACAGGTTTATAATAATTGAGAACTTGTGTTTTGGACCATTTTCATAAGGAATTGGGACATCTTGAATGTTCATGATTTGGGGAATAAGGCCAATAACTCTAATACAAATACAAAAGAGAAATGTGACTAAAATTTATAGGGTCATCTTCCAATATTTTCTAAATGAACAGTTAATGTTGAAGACTAGTTGGACATGGGCAGCAGCAGCTATGAACGACCACATTAACATTAGGAAGTAAAAAGACAAAGCATTTTTAAATATTATTTTTTTTAATTTCTTTTAAATTTAGTAACAAAAAATGGATAATCTTCTTTTTTCAGTAAAATTTAACTCACACCGGAATTTGTAATACCGGTAATGTTCCAGAGAGCACAGTGACTAGTCTTTAAGTGTCTTTTTCAATGCATTTTCTGTCTTAACTGGCTGTAAAACCACAGTTGTGTTAAGCATGGTTATTAATGAAAATCAATACAAAATATAGACATTTTGAACCAACATGAGTTCTAATGACATATAAACATTCAAAGATCAAAGTTTCATACAAATTATGATCTAATTTGGTTTATAAGAATCTACAGCAGACAAAATGACTTAAGAATTGTTTCACAAATTCACCCTCATGAAGAAAATAACCAGTATTTATGAACTGAACAGACACCCGGGACAGTAGGTAATTGGATAAATAGATATACAAATGCAACACATGGAAAGAAAAATAAAACTAAATAAAAACTCCTTTTTTTTGTCATCTGTAATAAAAATAAAAACCAACCATAAAAGTCTACATATAAATCATGATAAGGAACAGATGTGAAACACTGTTGGTTTTTCTCTCAATAAAAATAAATAAGAATGAGACAAGAAGGTAAAAATGAATTCACAGATTTAAATAAACCGATACCTAAAACAAGTATTAGAAATGATTGTTTCACAGAATGAACCACTTTAGTTTATTGTCTCAATGAAATTTAAGAAGATCTTTATCATTTTATCTTTGAATTCTGAGTATTGCCAAGCAATTTTGAAATTTAAAAAAAAAATCTTTTAGCTGAAATCATCATTCTAGAAAACAATACAAATCCAACTGAATGTTATTTGGACAAGAAACAACATGAGCTCTGAAATGTGTGCATTATGAATGATTTTATTATAAGACAAGTCACAGTTTATTATGTGGGAGGTTTTGAAACTGTTGAATCAGGTGGTGGTTGTAAATCTCCATTTGTTTGAACTTCTGACGGCCTGTACTCGCCTTTCTGCACTCTCCGGCTTCTCTTACTTGGTTTTTGGGGTTCGTTCTGTGGGTTTACTTGATGTTTGTGCTCTTGAGCTTTCTTGGCTGCCCTTTGTTGACGAGTATTTTGCGCTACTGCACTGACGTGTGGATACAGCTTGATAACAGTTCCAACAGCTTTTGTTCGACCTTCTCGAAACACCATTTTCATATCTGGTTTCAGATATTCAGGGTTTTTGATGAATCTGAATCGAACATGAGCTTTATCACCCGTTCTTAGATGTTCTTCGGTCATATTAAGAATTGTTGCTGTCTGACGAACACTTCCTACATGAACTGAAATATATAAATAACTATTCTTAGATGTCCTTCAGTCATATTTAGAATTGCTGCTCAAATAATATCTTTATAGTTCTTTTGATAATTAAAGATACATTATGGAAGATTATATAAAGAGCTGGCAGTTCTTACTAGATAATGTAAAATTGCTTCACTTTAAGCAGAGAAAACCTTACTTTAAAATCTCTGTAGCCTCAATTGTCATTGTTACCGCTGTCATGAAAATTAACAAAGTGTTGATTATCTATTTTTGCGGTTAATCATGAATGGGCGTTGAACAGTAGATCGGATTCAAATCAAATGAAAATCGAACACATGGGATGGCATCAAGAGTTGATTATGGTCTTTTCATGTTAATAAATGTCTAATTAATAGTTTATATAACATTTCAGGACTAAAGAAATACCTGCAATAGGCAGATTTACCTCTTGCTTAATGCATGTTTAAGTTATTTTACATATCTGAAAACTCAAACTAGAAGACACACAATTCTAAAAAATACAATTACTGAATTTTTTTATTCAGAGATATATCTCAACACTGAACCTTCTCTTGTTATCGAGCATAATGAAGAATTGTGCAAATATCTACACAAACTCACCCATGGCTTGATAACGAACACTTATCGTCGTGGGGTGATGTAGAACTAATATTTCTCCTTCAAATTCCCAACATGCTTTAGGGTCTAGTTTTGGTGAAACCATTACCATACCTTTTCTAATAACAGATCTTTTTATCTGGAAAACATATCAATTATAATATGAATAGTGAAAAGTTACTATTTTCATGATGCTATTCAATGATCAAGACTACAAATATACTTAAATCAAAAATTGATTCAAAGAATTAAGAAAGAATACGCAGGCCTTAAAGAAACAAGGAAAGTAAATCTTTTTTAGGCATGAGCTGGATTTTTCTTAATACATTATTTTATTTATAGCATTAGAATTTAAATAAAAAATTCAGTGCATGCGCGGATTATTTAACAGGTTCAATTCAAAATCATACAATTTTATAAGTAGTCAGTCAGATTTTCCTACTCCTTGCAATTTTTCCTTTGACACACTCACACTATTGTACTAAGTCATCATTTTTGCTTTGAACCAAATGGGGTTTTCCTACTTTTTATACGGCCACATTCTCATGTGGACATATTATGCCGTCACCATTGTCCGTCCGTCCACAATTTGTTTGTGAACACTCTAAAAGTCACAATTTTTATCCGATTTTAACGAAACTTGAAATATATCTCTATCTCCCAAAGATATTGGTTTCTTTCGATATTGGCATGTATTGGACCATAACTTCATGGATTATTGCCCCTGATTTTACGAAAAATCACGTTTTTAGCTTTTGGATTCTCTAGAGGTCACAATTTTTAACCAATTTTAAACACCTTTTAAATGAAACTTAAAAATATATCTTTATATCCCAAAGATCTCAGTCCCTTTCGATATTTGCGCATTTTAGACCATAACTTTCTGGATTATGGCCACTGATTGTATGAAAAAATGCTTTTGTTTTTAGCTTCTTCTCTATCCATCTCTTGTAAAATGTGAGCAAATCTTGTCTGGCAACTGCTGGTTGTTTAATCACAAGAAATGGCAGATTTTAGTTGGTGTTTTCTGCTCTTTAATATCACAGCTCTGACTAATCTTGTCTTCATTTGTTAATTAATTTGTTGTTGAAAAGCTTACAGAAAATAACTTTCAATCGAACAAAGCTTGTGTTGGCATTTCATAGAAAAGGCAATCCAAGACTTGCGAAAAAGAAAATTACAAACTATAATTTATGAATAATTTGATTTTATCAACTGCTGTCAGCTATTTGAATTTTTAAGCTGGCATTAAATATTTTTATAGGTTATTGGAATCTTATTTCGAGTTCAAACAAATTAAAATATTTAATTGTAGTAATTGACTGCAATTATGGAAATGATGCATCATTAATAACACACAAAATCATAAAAGCATTCATTTGTGTGATTTTAATACTCATAAAATGGTTGACTACCTGCAGGCTGATAACAGTGATAATGGGAAACCTGAGGCTAGGGTTACACTATTGACAATAGATCTAAAGGAAAACCAACACTATTCCCTACCAACAAGGAAGCAATTAAAAAACAATTAGTTAAATCTTTAGGCCTGATTGTATGATTATATTTGTATACATGTAACAAGTAATTAATTAAATAAAGCCGGTATGTATATCAATCTTACTACTTGATAGCAATATTTCAATTCCAAGAGAAGTATAGTATGTGCTGAGGAACTCTATCCTTTGTTATCAAATTTCTTCTGTTTACATCAAGTCCTTAATTCATTTAAGATTGTATATGAAAGTCTTATTACCTTTTTAAGTGCAAATGATGCTGTCTGACCCCCTCTGACTTCTTTGACTGGCATACGTTTTCGATGTATACTCTTTATCACCATTGACATAAACTGACCTAATGCATCTGGCCCCAGGAGTAAAGAATCATTTAATCTAACAATACCTTGTAATAATGTACCCGACACAACTGTACCTACACCCTGTAATCATAAATACATGGTAAATAATTAAACTTCTTTTTATATTCTTTTACATAGTTATTTATATTACTCTACATAGATAAATAATATTAAATTGATCAAATAGAAAAAAACAATTAATACTCTTGGAGGACATTTTTAAAAAGAAAAGACCGTACTATATAATTTTGACTGGTTTGCTGGTTCAATGAGAGTTTCTGGCCTGGTGTAAGACTGGCATGGAATAGCATCTAGTCACACTGATGGAGCAAAAACCTTGTGAACACTTCGGCTTGCAAGCTAACAAAGCCTTTAAACATTGAATTTTAATGAAGAGTAAGTGGTAATGCTGCTGGGACATAAATTAGTTGTGTTTTCCACTCAGACAGGCTGACTAACCTTGTCATTTGTATTTGTTACTTGACTAGTTGTTAAAAAGTTCATTAGCCTACATTGTATTCTTTATTTCATTTAAACAACTTACCGGTACTGAAAATGTGTCATCTATTTGAAATTCTGCTGGTTTATTTAAGTTGCATTTCACTCTTGTAGATAATAAATTAAGAAACATTTTTAATAAATCTAAATTTTCTCCAGTCACATTTGAAACCTGGAATATTGGACACATCCTGAAAGAATAAAATGTTGTTTTTTAGGGTTTCAAAAATTGCATAAATACTAAATTTTGTATAATCCTACATGGCAATTAAATGTTATTGTAATTGTTATTCTAACTTGTGGAAATGAACCTTATTCAAAACTCATTTGCAGGATAATTTCATCAGTTAGAATTCAGAATTTCTATAAGAACATCAAATCAAAATAGGAATTACTAATTAAATAATTACCTCTCTGATGTAAAATTGGTCGCAGAGCATACAACATCATCTGTTGTTGCTACCATGACTGGTATTTTCCGACAACCTGGAGATTTGAGAATTCTTTGAAGTAATTTTAAAGTATCTTGTAAAACATTAGCAGGACACATGTCTATTTTAGTAACTACAACAAATACCGGTACATTTAAGGCTAAAGCCAAACCCAGATGTTCTTTTGTCATTCCAATAACACCAGCATTGGCACCAACCTGAAATATAAGAAGATAATACCTGTTTCAATAACCATATTTCTTGATATTGAATGATACTTTAAACATCAAACTTTGATGTTATGTTGTAGAAATTGGTTATTTAAAGACTTCAGTCTGCAGACTAAGAAATCTTAATCTAGTTTTTTTTAACTTGAGTGATTTTTTTATCCCAACATATGTTAAAATGAGCCCATCGTACTAACCATTAACATAGCAAAGTCAGGCGCATGACCAGTCATTCCGAAAACTGTTGTTTTTAAATATTTTTCATGACCAGCCAAATCAATGAATGTTACAACCTGCAAAAAAAAATAACAGCATATATTATAATACATATATAAATATATCAGAATGAAGAATTAAAAGTGGTTGATTATTTTTTTTTATGTATGTACATGTATGTCTCTTTTACTTATATCCCATTTATTAAGGAACTATTATTTTCTCTATTTATGGTTTTATTCTATAATACGAGGACTCTTTGCTTATAGTTATAGTATAAAATAAATTTACATTAATATCAAATATTATTTCTTTATAAAATAATCTCAACTAACCTTTGCTGAAGCTTCACAAATTTTAATCCAATCCAGATGTCCATGATCGGGTTTATTTACAACATTTCCGGAAGAATCAAATCCAAGAATATCATTTCCTACACTACTTGTTCTACCAGTTTCCATCTCATGTTTATGTCGGAATAATTTCTGCCTGGCAATACCTCGACCATTATCTAAATCTCCATGTGTTAGTACACCTAGTAATGTACTCTTTCCAGCATCTACATTTCCTACAACTGCCACTCTAGAAAGATAGAAATTAACATTAAATGAAGAATAACCTCCCTTCTATGCATGCTTACAGTTACAAATATTATACAAGTGGAAGTACAGCAAATATATCTTTATCATCTCTAAAAGAAATAATTATAAAAAAGCATATATAAGTTATTTATTGCTATCAAAGAAATTGTTAATTTCGAGACAGGCGAATATATAAATATAATAAAAGTTTAAAATCTGGGATTGTTGTGTAGCGTTTGCTTAATAATATTCTGTCTTCAATAATTCAAATGAATAATAGTGACAATTTTAAGTAATAAAATAAGATGCCCTATAAGTTTGATTAAACAAATAGACAGTAATAAAATAGTTGAATGTATATTATAGGTTAATAAAAACACCTGTTCTTTCATATAATAAATCAATAAACGACGGTTTTAAAATATACTATAAATGTAGTAATCTAAACACACACAGCTGGTCTTCTTCTTATTCTTAAGGGGGGTTGGATGGCTGAATGGTTAGCGTGCGCGCGCTGTATCATAAAGTCTGTCATTGAGTCGACTGGCGTGGTATCGAATCCCCGGTTGTACGTGACAAGGAGTAGGGTCGCCTGTCCAACCTCGTGGGTTTTCTCCGGGTCCTCCGGTTTCCTCCCACTGCTAAAGACCCCTATGCGCAAGCGAATTATTGAAATAAAATTAAACCATATGTTAGTCACGAAATGACCTAGTTTGTGTCGAGTGGACGTTAAACCCCATTTCTCTCTCTCTCTCTCTTATTCTTAAACATGTGTTCTAACATGTGGAATTACAATGACTAAACACCATCATAATGTGTGAAGTATAATAAAAAGCCAGCAAATGGTGCATACATAAATATTCCGAAAAGAATATCATTTGCTTTCTTGGTAGAATCAGGCTACCTGACAAGTCACAGAGTAGACTGGGAGTTTCGTGCACCCTAAAAAATAACCCTTTTGACACTAATTTCACATCAATATTATTCTGCTACTACATTCCCATTACCTCCCATTTATGTAACCATCACCATTGACCAGAATAAACCAGACAACAGTACAGTAGATCTTACCATATACAGGTAATGATTTTTGAAGAGAAATAAAACAAAAAAGCTATACATTTACAACGTATCCATAAGCTCTATATAAAACATTATATCTGTAATCAAGAACATTAATAATGTAAGGATACAATTAGAAATTCTAAGGGAACTATTGAATATTGATGATATCCAATAGTTTAATATTTTAGTGTTTATTTACCTAATTTCCATAAAATCTTGGGATTCAAGTTTTCTTCGCAGTAGATATTCACAGACTTTACCCTCTTCTGCTGTTCTTTCTCGAAGCTGAACACATTGTAAATCTAAAGACTCGCAGATACTTGTGAGAGTTGCTATTGATGCCTTCATATCCTCATCTTTAAGGCCGGGCTTATCTCCCTCTATAATGTAGAAAATTCTCAATTTTTATTTGTTTCTGTATATTTACATGTCAATATAATATCATATCAATGATGATCTTTGATAAAGAGGACTAGCTAGTAGCTACATATCAACAGTCTGTGTTAAAGGCTCAATACCACTCTTGTTGTAACTGAATAATATGTCCTAATCTTTATTCTGGTCAACAAATTGTACTATTTTACAATATTCCAATTAATTGATGATACAAATTTCACCTTAACACACCTAATTTAAAAAATTGGAAAAATTCAACTAAATGATTTGAAAAGCCTGACGTAAAGCTTTTCAAATGTGACTTGGATTTAAAAATATTTTTGAACCCTTTGGACAAGTAAAATAGGATTTAAATGGATAATTTACACAACAGGTAGGACACTAACACTTCTAGTCCTTAGAATAAGGCTATTTTTTATTTTCTGGAGCTGTCAAGCCAGCAAGAGTGTTATTGTCCCTTTAACCAAATGTACAAGTAAAGAATTAGGTTAAGAAATAAACAAGTACACACACCTCCAGTTCCAACTTCATAGATTGTCTCTCCTTGGCCTTCATCTGCACGTGTTTTAATCACCTCAACAAGGTATTCATATTCTTCATTATTTGGACTCACCAATGCATTCTAAAAATCAAATTAAAGAATTGTACAAAAGATTAAAAATAAAATGATGGAAGTTTTTAAGAAAACTGTAGTATTTCATTTATAAATGTATTAATAATATATATTTAATCATTTACAATTAAAAAAAGTCATTGAAATTAACATAATTTATTAATTGGAATTAATGAACTATACCTTTGATAGTAACGAAGACATTTCAACATCAAACTCATCATTGTCTGGACTGAAGAGATTGCTTCCTCCATTTTCCATATCGGGGTTAGAGAACCCTTCAAAATCCATAGCAGCAGCCATGATGTTTGATTAAAGTAATAATATTTCAAAGTGCTTTTTTAAGAATTTTTTCAAATAATTTTACAACTCAAAAGATTTTAGTTGCTCTTTTCAAAGTCTAAACCTTGCAAAAATTATGTTAAAATCAAGTAAAAGAAGTGTTATGTAAAAATTTCAAAACTCAATGCAGTGCTTCATGTACATCTATATACATTTAAAAATAAAACTTAGGTGCTCATATCCTTAAAATCATTTTCGACTGTGGCTATCTCTTAGCCAGTATTCATTTCCTGAAAAACACAATTTCATAATTTAACAACACCATAAGTTGACTCATAAGAATGAAAAGGAGAACAAAAATGGTAAAACTTTACTAATAGGTTGAGCATTTATATGGTTTCCTTCATTAAAATTTACATACATGTACATTAAATTGAGTGCAGATATATTTGCTAAATAAAAGGCCTAAATTTAATATGCCATGCACAAATACATGTGTACTGATATATTTAATAAGGAAAATTGCAATTAACAGCATTAATTTGTACAACCAGCGGTCGCCAGGCAAGATATGCACACATTTTGCAAGAAATGGATAGAGAACAAGCTAAAAACAAATGTGATTTTTTGTACAATCGGGAGCCATAATCCAGAAAGCTATATGGTCTGAAATACGCAATTATCAAAAGGGACTGAGATCTTTGGGGTATAAGATATATTTTAAGTTTCATCAAAATCGGATAAAATTTGTGACCTGTAGAGGTTCCATAACCATCGTATTACAATACAACAATTTTGTCAGACAGTTTCCATTTTGCTGAAATTCGAATTCAACCTTTATTATGGTGGAAGGGTGATATTTAAACAGCTTTTAAAATCGGATAAAGAATTTTGACCTCTAGAGAATCCACAAACTAAACCAGCAGTTGCCAGACAAGATTCTCCCACATTTTGCAAGAGATGGAGAGAGAGAGCAACGTAAAAAAAAAAGCAATTTTTCGTACAATCAGGGGCCATAATCCAGAAAGTTATAGTCTGAATGCTCGAATATCGAAATGGACTGAGATATTTTGGACATAAAGATATATTTTAAGTTTCATCAAAGTTGGATAAAATTTGTGACTTCTAGAGAGTCCACAACCTCGGTATTACATACTTTCAGAAAATTCGAACTCAACCATCATTACAGTGTAACAGTGATATTCAAACGGTATATTAAATTGGATAAAAATTGTTACCTCTAGAGGTACCACAAGCTAAAAACGTGATTTTTCGTACCACCATGGGCCATAATTCAGGAAGTTATGATCCGATATGTGCAAATATCGAAAGGAACCCAGATCTTTGGGTTATTAACATGCTTTCCACGTTTCATCAAAATCAGATTAAAATTGTGACCTCTACTAGAGTGGCCACAAGCTGAAAACGAGATTTTTCGTACAATCAGGGGCCATAATCCATGAAGTTATGGTCTGATACATGCCAATATCGAAAGGAAACAAGATCTTTAGGAGACAAACCTATATTTCAAGTTTCGGATAAAAACTATGACAGTGTATACTGTCCACAATGTGTGACCGATGGACGGACAGGGGCGACAGCATAATACGTCCACTTAAAATGTGGCTGTATAAAAACTAAAAACTGAATAATGGTCAACAGAAAAATGGACAAATTAGGAATGGTCTATTTGATGTACAAACCAGTTATTAAGATTATTAATGCATGCTGAGGTTATTAAAGATTAGATTGAAACATTGATAAAATGATCATTAGTGATTAATTTTTTTTTATTATTCTTAAGGATTAATTCAGATAATGAGAGAAACGTAATCAATGCTTTTTGTTTCTATTAACTGTATTAATAGCTCTTATTAACAGCTGATCTAACATTTTACATATTACACCATGTGCATGTAAGCCAGATTTATTATGTGTAAAAAACAAAATGACCACATGTCTCGTATTTAAATCAAACAGTATTAGTTGCCAATAAGTTTTTGTATTAAATTTGGAGATTATTTTTTTGTTTTTAAGTGTAAGCCTATAAATGGTATGGCACCATGTTACTTAACTAAACTTTTAGAATTGTATTCACCTGGTATAAGCCTCAAATTATTTTGTTAACATTTACGTGTATGTAAAGAGCACTGATGCACTTGATGAAAACAGCGCAATGTAAAAGTTTTATGACAATCAAGGAGTTCAGTGGGGATGCTTATATGAGCTAGATTTTTTTTCAATATGCTTTTATTAAAATTTATTTTCTTGTTCAAGGTGATGCCTCTTCAAATAAAGCACGGGAAATGCACTACCTACCTACATATATAAAATTGTAACCATGTCTTCATATGATTATGATTCTAGTTTCTACACCTTGCATGCCTGGTCATTTTTTTTTTTCCTTAGATCCTCTTGATTGAAATAAATAGATAGAACTCAATGACCACTGAATACCGCTTGGGTTATTCAATGGTTCAAGAGAGTGTATCCCTGCGCAATTCAATCGCGTCATTGAGTTCTGTTTTTATTCTATAACTACATGCAAATCTCAAAATACACTGTACTATCCAGATTATCAAAACAAATCATCACCAATAACGTTAAAATTCATCATAGGTTCTGCCCTTTTCGCCTTCCTTTTACAAAAATTGTGGTTCCCTAGTGGTGAGGTCATTACAGTCTGACATAATTCTGAAAGTGACATCAATCCGGACAAAAGTAGTAAGTAAGTGTCCAAGCCATTGAATACTACCATAGCCGCCATAGGTTATTCAATGGCTGTATTCAATGATATTTGCATGTACAATGTTACGAATGTACTGTAGTTATAGAATAATGGGATTTATTCAAATTTCAATGCAAAAATTTGTTTGGGTTAAGAGATTTCGTACTTACTTGAATTAATTCAAAACGCTACATCATACAGCTGAGTTGTCTTGGTTATGTTACACTTTTATATGGTCCGTATGTTACAAAGGTGTTGGAAGGAAAAGTTTTCATTCGATTTTTCTGACACCGATGCTTCATTCAAAGCTAATATCATAAATGGTTTGCAATGTAAAATTACCCTAGATATATAAGATGTATTGCATGAAAGCCTATGGAACTGATGCAATGTTGATGAAACCTACCTTTCGTTGACTATTGGGGCATTTAATCTCGACAGGTCACTGAATGTTGTTTACGTTGCACCACACTATCATCACCACCATGACTTCTTCACAGGAAGTCAACAGTGAAATGTTACGGAGCCATCCATTCTTACATTTTAAATGAATCTTTCAAAATATGATATTACGCTTGCAGAGCTAAATTACCTCTGAATTATTGAACTACATCAATAATATCCACTATGATATAAAATTTATATTTTACTATCATTTTCGCCGCGGACCTTTAATTAAATTTTAGTTCTTATTTCCGCTTTGTGAAACTTCCGGTAAAAATCAGAAATTCTGTCAAGAAAGAAAATCATCATAAACAATAATTGTTTTAAGTTGTCTTCATAATTATATTTAGTCAGTCATTGGTAACTTAAATCCCTCCCCTCCTTAAAAAGCAAATTTAAAAATCCTGGGGTTTTTTTTTTTGTCTTAGTGTCAAATTCCGTCTGGTTTTAGTAGCTTATGGCTTATCTGAATTTTTGAAGATAATCTAAATAATTATGCTGTCAACATCTGGAAGTGGAATTGCTGGCACGATCCCATATACCAGAAACATCAGTGAAATTAATTGCAATTATCTCATATGTGATTGCCTTATCAGGGCAGCTATAGAGTGTGCTCTAGATAAAATGTACCATGTATAGAAAACAATAAAAAAAAAAGGACCTTTAAAAACAAAACAACTTCTGATGCAATCTTCTGTGGTTGGAAAAGCAAGACCACAAGAATTTACTTTATTCAGCTAATTCTCGTCTGTTGTTTATCTTTAATGAATGACATGACAACCAGATGACTCGAATCTGTAGATATTATCCAGACACTACTACAAGTCTTTATTCGGAATGGTTGCTAATCATGTGATACAAAGTGTCATATTGATGCGTAGGACTTGAATAACCAACTAGTTTTATTCATTTAAATATATCTGAGATGGTTTTATTTTTCAGGTGTAAAAAAGATTTGACATTGTGAAAGGCTTAATTTGTAAACTGAGCATCCTTGATATTGCTCATATTAATGTCATGATAATTTTTAACTATTTCCGACTGCTGTACAGATGAGAATTAAGTTCTGTAAAAGCCCATCACTTTCTCCTAGTGACAGTGACGAAGGTTCAGGAAAGTGTATGGGTCTGTATGGTAGCCGATGCCAGGCTCAGAACATGGATAGTGAGAAGAATGGGACAGATGACATGCCATATCATGAAAAGCAGCATAAAGAATTATGTGCATTGCATGCATTGAATAACCTTTTTCAAGATAAAAACCCATCAGACAGATTTACCAAGAAAGATTTAGATGATATTTGTACAAAGTAAATTAATTTGAAATATCTGTGTTTTAATTAATATATGATTATTGATATTAGTCTAATATAGGTGTAGCAGCTCAGTGAGTAAGGCGCTGGCCATTGCACCACTAACCAGGAGGTCCTGGGTTCGATCTTGGTGTTGGCCAGGAAAGTTCCTCAGGATTTCCAGCATGCTTTCTAATGAAAAAGAATAGTTTTCATTCATTTGGATGATGCAAAAAACTGAGATCATGTATACACGTTGGTGTGCACATAAAAGAACCCTTGGCAGTTGGAATTTGTCAAAGAAGTGGATGGAAATGCTGCTATCCGGGCAACATATCCCTCATAAACCACTTCATGGCATATGTCCTGTCTTCATTAGCCCTGGTTGGTGCAGAAAAGTAGAACATGAAACCCCATATCATTTTATTTACTAATATAGGTTTAGGCAAATAAAATTTACTTCATTATATAATCTACATGTAGGTCTACTGCATTTATTAATAATAATTTGAGATTTGCATAGATGTAGTCTCTGTTTTACATAACCATACCATTCCATTATTTTAACAAATTACATGTAGTTGTCTTTTGATATCTGGAAACAGAAGAATAATGGCAAAGATGAAAAAATAATTTCAAGATGTATCCAATCTTGGTGCTGATTTACTTTTTTTTAGTTTTACTTTATTAATATTTTTTAATTCCAAATATCAAAATTATTTTCCTAGTAATTATTTGGTAATTGTATTATTTCAGATTATCTCCAGATAGTTTTATAAATCCTCATCGAAGTTTTCTTGGACTTGGTAATTATGATGTCAATGTTTTAATGTCAGCCGTACAGAAAAAAGGTTGTGAAACAGTTTGGTTTGATAAAAGAAAGTAAGTGTAATAGAACAAAATTTATCATATAATCGATCATATGTTTGTAGCAACCAATGTTCAGTGTATGGACTAAGTTATTAATATATGCAGGGAACTTAATAGTCATGATTGGCTGCCGATGGGTTAATCATGTGAAATTGAGTAAACAGATTATTTGTTTTTGACAGCAAGCAAATACTGATTTATCATTGATGTTTAAGAAAAGATAATAGCATTTAGACCAAGCATATAAGCTACATCCTTTCTTCAGTCTACAGCTGTACTGGTTCATAATTAAACATAAATAACATGCAAGACCCAATTGTTGATCACATTAGCTTAATCCAAACTCATCCTGTTAATAATTATATAAACAACACTGATTAATTAACATTTCCTTTAATTACCAGAGCTAATTAAATAATATTTAATTTGACACAGAGAACCTATGTACAGTTCTTATTTTAGCTAGAGTTGAAGGAAATATAAAGATGAATGGTATTTGTATACTTGTAATATAAACAATCTGATGAAACCACAGATCCTATTTCGTTTCGTTTTTTATAGTTCAAAATTTCGTTGTACTTGTCTTCACAACTCTAGGATCTGGAAGAGTTGTTATATAACAGGCGTTCTAGTTGATATGAGGAATTAGCTAATATAATGGTCTGTTACGGCGAGTTCTTGGCGTTCTCTGCACAGAACAGTGGGCAAACCCCTAGAAACGTCAACGCTGACTGATTAATTAATGTCTGACATCATAGGGTCGAAAGCCGCTCGTATAACCCCTGATGCAACCCCCCAGTACAACTGGTCAGATCTTGTAGGCCATCGAAAGTATAAAAAAACGAAATGAAATATAGATCTGTATTTTAATCAGATTGGTAATATAAATAAAGTGTCAAACTATTTTATCTCTTTTTTTCAGGAGTATTAATTCTTTAGTGTTTGATAAGATAGTTGGTTTTATTTTAAATATACCAACAGACTATAAACTGGGTTTTGTTCGAATTCCACTTCACAGAAAACATTGGATAACTATCAGAAAATTACAAGGGTTATACTGCAACTTGGATTCCAAACTTGAATCTCCAGAAACTATTGGAAATGAAGATGAAGTTAAAGATTTTCTCAAGAATCAATTAGAAGATATCAATAAAGAATTATTATTAGTGGTTCATTCAGAAGTTAGTGACTCTGGTAGCTGGAGAAAAGATAGCATAGAATATAGTGACAATAAAATAAATCATGTGTAGGTGCATGTAGAACAAGGCATGAATACATTGATTGCTGGAAAAACTAATATACCCAAAATCTTGTGTCTTTGTTCATAATTGGGCAGGACATATACATGATGAACATATCTAGATCTTAATATCATAGAAATGTAAAAGCACAGACATAAAAAGTGTGTGAAAGTTGAGTGTAGTTAATTTAAGTGCAAGCATGTCACTAAACATTGATACCTGTATCACAGTATCTCTGAAGGGAGATGGTCCAACTATTTATATATTTTAACAACATAGATAACAATAACAGCCACTCAAATCAACTTTTAAAAAAAGCTTTCTAAATACCCCAATTCATATGCCACATTAAGTTAAAGATTGTATTCATGACATCACTGAAGGTAACAAAACTAGCATTTATTCACTGAAAATATAAAATCTGGTAGTATTTATGACAAGACTAATTCATTTTTTAATTAAGGGTAGTGATTGAAGGAGGGCACCTAGAATGTTCCTGAAAGTTGACAATAGTAGTTGTTATTTCATCTATCTGTTGTTAGGATATACAAACAGATGGACTACAGTTTTAAAGCAATTAAAGGATAAGAATGTTATGGACCTGTTATGTACGTCAGAAATGTTTGTTTAATGAAGTTGACAGGTCAGTAAATGTCTGTACAATGTATTTTTGATACTTTGATAGTAGTACATTAAACATGTATGTTGTTCAAATGGCACTTAGTAATTGACAAGCATGAACAAGTTATTATATGGAATAACAATTACTTAGCTTTTATTACAGCAATGTTTCAACTAACCTCTACAAAGCTTCATCAGGCTACTGTGATATATAATTCATCGTGGTATACATTATAATATATGAAATGTTGAATTAAAATCAGAGTTAAACATTCATACCAGGTTACATTTAATATTTAACTGATGGGTTCAGTAATCAGTTCTAATAGTTTCTACATTGATGCTATATAAACTTAAGAAATAAACCTTTGTAACATAATATTTCTCACACCTTTAGGTTCAGGTTGCTTCATGGGCTAAATTATCTTCATGATTGATTCATAATATTTCTGAGGTGTAAATATCTAGTGTGAATAATAAAAGACATAATATTAAGTTAAGGGCAAGAGATGTGATTGCTTTACTGTAAATCTAAATAGACTTAAAGTCTATAGAAACATTGAATGGCATAAGGAATATAATACCATTGTGAAGAATATTAAATGGATTGATTTTTATAGTATATTGTAAAAAGAATGGCCTTTGCATCATTATTAGCTTATAACTTAAAGGAGAAATCCAGCTGATGCAGATTTTTTGTTTGGTTTATTCAATATCTAGTATAAATCTCATTTGTTTATACATGTATACCATGATTGACTGTGGCATGTTAATTAAAGGTGAATGATTTGCACTTCCAGTTTAGCCTTACTCAAAATGTGTTAATACTAAGTAATGAATAAAAAAAATCTGCAACAGCTGTTGTTCTAGCTGCTTATTGTAGAAAAATAAAAAAATTGTAAATACATATATTTTATTAGCAATATTGATATTGCTGGTATGCACATATATAAAAATATTAGCACATACATATCTTGTGTGGCATATTGATATAATTACTGGTAAATCTGTGTGTTTAAAATTATTGAAATTCAGTCATCCCTTGGATTGCAGTTTGCATCATCTTAAAATTTAGTTACTTAGACCTCTTTTCCTAGCCCTGGTAATATCCAGTCTTAACAGAAAAATGTGAAATATGAATGCAAACATGATTATAATTTGTCGCCAAATAGTTCTCATATTTGCTTCAAACCTTGAGACAATTCTTGGGAAAAGGCACACGACTAGCACAGTATAACCTGTTAGTCAAGTCTGTACATAGCAGATGACAGATTCATGATCACCAAACTTATTGGCAATATAGGAACACAAATTATTATATGCACCTTTTAAGTGCTATGTACAGACTTAAAAGGTGCAGATAAAAAATGTTGATGTATGTGATTAAGTTCATAAGCCTCAGATGACAACTCTATAATATTACAATGTTTTAGTAGTTGATTTGTATGTAAACTCACACAGGCATTCACCAATTTAAGCTAGTTACCCAAATCATTTAAAACATTTACTCAAAATCCCCTTTATAGAATGTGTAACCAGACCATATTAAGTTTCCATCTATTAACCTACAAGAATATAAGCACTTGTACATTTTCTTATTATCAAACTATATTAAATTTTAGTTGAATTCATATGATAAAGCACAATGATGTGTAATTTAAATGTGTGATTTATTGAATGGAAGTGTAATTGTATGGTCCAATATACAATATGGTTGTGATTTGAACTCGTACACAAATCTTTTAACACATCTATATTTGTAAGAATATTTTAATATATATATTATCTAAAGATAATTCGTTTAAGTACAGTGTATTTGTTAGACTTAGATTGTGCTTTTAACTGTATAGATTTAGAGCAATAGTTTGCGTCAGTAGCTCACTTCCTATAAGGAACAATTGATAGCTTTAAATAAGGTTTCTAACATTTTTTTATGCGGAATATTTATTGTTTTACATTCATCAAATATAATTGATGGAATATATATAAGATAATGACAAATCAGTCCTGAAAAGTATACCCATAAAGCCGCTAACAATTTTTGAGGGATTATTAATCCCTTGCAAACTACAATATTGTGTAAGTTGAATCCCAGAAGGGAATATTCCAAAAAGGTTCAAATATTGAATGGAACTGAACCATTTCCCTTTTGAGATTTAACTTTAACAATTATTGTAGTTTACAAGGGATTCAAAATCTCTTAACTGATAATCAGTGGCTTAAATTAAATGTCTAATAATCAATTTGTGAGCATTAAGTTGTAAAAAACTTAGGTATTTTGCTAAAAGTGGAAATGACGAGCAGTGACATAAAGGGGTGTCATTACCTTATGTATGTATGTATGTCGACTGTTCTGTTATATTTTACTCAATTAAGTGGCGAATTATTCTGACATCTTCTCATGTCAAAATACATTTGCACCATTATATTTTTTGGAGCAGCAAACTTATGAATGGATAATGATGTATCTTCACACTAAAATTGTTTTTGTAAATGCATTTGAAATTAGATTTTTAAAATATTATTTTTGTGTGGAGCAGTGTGCGTGTAACTTTTGGCGGTTTTATATAATACAGGCATAGTTTTAGACAGATGTGAAATTTTGTCTCCAGAAAATGAAACTTTCTAAGATTTTACTAAATATTTCTCAAATTTGCTTCCTCTTTCTGCATATAATGAGGAAAATGCTTTTGCAGTTGCAGAGTAAAAAAAAAGCATTGAAGTTTTTCAAGTCTGTTTCTCATTCATCAAGAATAATACTTGGTTGACTGGGTGGGTAGTCTTGGATTGGACAACAAAAACCAAGGTTTTCAGTACGAATGGTAGTTGGAATTCAAAGATAATTTACAGAGATTCTGATGTCTGCCCCAAATTCTCTTCCTGGAAAATAAATATTTCCATGTTATTCTCAAAATGACCAATCATTGATGTTAACAATAACGTTTAAACCTTGATTTCTGTTCTGTAACTAAAAGTTAAAAGACTTAGACGGTTTCATCCCAGATTGTAATACAAGTTAATAAAACAAAAGTCAATATTTTCATAATTGAAGATTTGAAAGTTAACATGAGAGAGAATGGATGTATGTGATATTGTATATAGGCTACTATGTTTTTAGATAAACGACTAGTTTTTGTATATAGTGCTTAATAAATTATAATTGTTATGTTTTATATGAACAATAAATGTCAGTATTTTATTTATAAATATAGACTGGATTGTGCAACTTACTTTTTAATATGATGTAATAATGTCTGTTTCATTTATAATTTTGTTACACTCACTTTACTTTTTTTGTCACACTTTTATAGGCCTTATCTCAAACAATTGCTGAGAAGTGGTTTCTCTTAACTTGTTTGAGATGTTCAAAGTATACAATCTATGATTACAAGTCCATCTGAGAAAAAAGTCTATGTAACTTATAAGGTCTTTCAATTATTTATGTGATCAGCTCTGGTTGAAGATGAATTATGTAAGAGCTAAGTCTGTCTACTACAGATCTTTTCTGGTTTCAAATCAAGGTTCTTAATCCATTTTGAAACAAACCGGCCAGAATTGGGTTAAAGAGGTCCTGAAAGGAAATAGGGTAATTATAAGTTCCCATTCCCTTTAATACAATCAGACTTTCAACACAATTCTTGATAATTTGTTATGTAGAAAGTCATATTCTGATTATCACAAAGAATAATGACAAATAGGTACACCTGTTGAAAATTTTCTATATTCAATTCGCGTACCGGATTCAAGTTCATGTCAATAAAATTCTGGATAATTAGCAACGTTAAATGTGCAAGTGCAACGTTAAATGTCTTAACCAGATTTATTGGCCTTATAGTTCTTTGAATACAAAATGTATATTTGTGCTGTAATTTTTTTTTACCTATGTGTCTCATGAAGTCAGAGCTGGTCACATGTACAAAGTATTTAGAATTAAACATAGTTGAACTGTTTTTAATGACAGGAGATTTTTTTTTAAATCTCTGATAATAAAATCAAATCCTATATTATGACTGTTTAAACCATTGCTGGTCTGGGTTCTTAGAAATATAAAATATCTAATCACACCCTGTCTGGCATGCAAATATTATAGTATCTTTGTATATTTAATTTTGGGTATTGTAAGTGTAAGGGTTACCAAAATTGCTCAAAACTAGTCTTCTGTTTGCTGATGGATGGTAATATTTCAGTAGAAAATTAATATTTCTGAGAACTTACACCCATATAGTTTACCAGAGTTTTAATAAATCCCACAGTCGACATAATTTATAATCAGGTTATCATAATAAAATGGTCTTTGTTAATTTTGAACAAAATCATGTTAAATTATTTATTTCATTTTTAGTGCTGTATAAACTGTTAAGAAAATCATACAGAAGTGGTTTGTTTTTATTTGCTGTTTAATCAGGTTATTATTTTAATACAATTTGGAATACACCTTCATTAAACATACATTATGCAAGAGCTAAATCTGCCTATTGCAGGTCTTTCTTTAGGCCTGAAATGTTATCTAAATTATTAGACATTAATTAACTTATCCAGACCATAATCAACTCTTGGTGTCATCGCTAGCCTGCAATGTTTATTGGATTAAGTTCCAATTTGCTGTTCAACTTCCATTTATAATTTAATCTTGAAATGGATAATCACGACTATGTTTTTTTTATCGTACCGACTTTAGTAATGATGATCAAGGCAAGGCAGAAAATTCAGTCACAAAAATCTTGGTTCAGAGTGGATCAATTTGACTGAAATTTTCAGCAAATTCCCTTTACATTATCTAGTTTTTAATTATTATAGTGGCTCTTTATCTAATCTCCCATAATGTATCTTTAATATTAACATTTGCCTAAGATCAAATATCAAAGTATGTGTCGCATGTAATTAGCCTTGATTGTACTTTTAGATAATATGCCTTTATTATTTAGTTTTTTTGCAATCTAATTGAAAGATTTCTGATGAAAGGATATTTTCTTTATCTAAGTCCGTTCATATATTTATTGATTGGCTGTTGCAGTCCGATTAGTCGATTCTTTGAAAAATAATAAATTTACTTCTTGTGAATGGATTTTGATAATGTACCTTCATTATAACTGTCACCCTTGTAAATTATGAAGATCAACACTGAATGTACATAATTGGGTGATTGTTTAAAACAAAATAGCTTTACAATATCAATACCATCTATGCTTATTTAATTCCTTTACTTCATTCTGATGGTAAATGTAGTTGTGTGTTGCATAAACATGAAAAAATTACTGTTACTCCTGTTTGTAGTAATCAATTACCATAGGTCTGATTTTTAAATGTTTTTTTTTTTTTTTAAAATCAAACTTGCTGGGATTGGTTATCTACCGAGCAACCCTATCAAAATCCAGAGATGCTCATCAAGTTATTGCGCCCTCACCCAAAAAATCTTCAGAGGACATCAATTTTATGTAGGTTATTTTGACACTGTGAATAAATTGACACATCCATAAATGTCATTGCCCCCGACACCCAAATCTTGAAAAGTGCTTTACTTAGGTAAATAACAAATAATAATAAAAAAAATAACCCATTTTATTTCTCATATACCGGTATATTATTTCATAATAAATATAAACATTAACCATTCTAGACCAAAAATTGTTTTTGTAAACACATATAAACATCTTAAACAGAGAAGACAGCAGAAGTCAACAGAGTATTACTTGTCTTCAAACCAAAGACAATATTCTAAAAAATCCCAGATTTTTTAAATCCTTTCACTCAAAGCAAACTTGTATCTTGATTATGAAGTACTGTTAATCAATATTATTATTGTCCCCCGCCTTTCGAAGAAAGCAGGGGACTATTAAAATGGGTTCGTCTGTCTGTCTGTCCATCCGTTTGTCTGTCTGTCCGTCACACTTTTTGGGACACATTAACTCTCCTCCTAATTGACCTAGAATGTTCAAACTTGGTGTAGGTGTTTATTAGGTCAGTGCCTTGATGGAGTTCGAAGATGAGCATTTTCGGCTTAGGGTAAGTAGAGATAAGCAATTTGATTGGTTGATGCTTTGGGACACGATAACTTTAGTTCTAATTAAGTGAGAATACCTTGACTAAGTTCGATAATGAGCATTTTCTGCTCAGGGTAAGCAGAGCGATAAGCAATTTGATTGGCCGAGACTTTGGAACACAATAACCCTCCTTCTAATTGAGCTAGAATGTTCAAACTTGGTGTAGGTGTTTATTAGGGTAATGCCTTGATGGAGTGTGAAGATAAGCATTTTCTGCTTAGGGTAAGCAAAGATAAGCAATTTGATTGGTTGATGCTTTGGGACACGATAACTTTAGTTCCAATTAAGTGAGAGTGATGAAACTTGGTGTATAGTTTCATTACATCAATACCTTGACTAAGTTCGATGATGAGCATTTTCTGCTCAGGGTAAGCAGAGCGATAAGCAATTTGATTGGCCGAGACTTTGGAACACAATAACACTCCTTCTAATTGAGCTAGAATGTTCAAACTTGGTGTAGGTGTTTATTAGGTCAATGTCTTGATGGAGTGTGAAGATAAGCATTTTCTGCTTAGGGTAAGCAGAGATAAGCAATTTGATTGGTTGATGCTTTGAGACACGATAACTTTAGTTCTAATTAAGTGAGAGTGATGAAACTTGGTGTATAGTTTTATTACATCAATACCTTGACTAAGTTCGATGATGAGAATTGTCTGCTTAGGCTAAGGAGCAATAAGCAATTTGATTGGCCGAGACTTTGGAACACAATTACTCTCCTTCTAATTAAGCTTGGATGTTCAAACTTGGTGTACAATGCCTTGATGGAGTGCGAAGATCGGCATTTTCGGCTTAGGGTAAGCAGAGATAAGCAATTTGACTGGTTGATGCTTTGGAAAACAATAAATTTGGTTCTAATTAAGTGAGATTGATGAAACTTGGTATATAGTTTCATTACATCAATACCTTGACTAAGTTTGATGATGAGAATTTTCTGCTTAGGCTAACGAGCAATAAGCAGTTTGATTGGTCAAGACTTTGGAACATAACAACTCTTCTTCTAATTGAGGTAGAATGTTTAAACTTGATGTAGATGTTCGTCTTGACTGAGTTCAATGATTAACATATCGAGCTAAAGCTAAGCAGAGATAAGCAATTTCCTGCTTTGGGACAAGATAACTTTGATTCTATCTGATAGAGAGTGATGAAACTTAGTGTATAGTTGATAATCAGTTTGATTGCTTGATACTTTGGAAAAAAAATAGATGTGCGATTAATTAATATGTGTCATCTATTTATTTGGGGATTTCGGCAGGGGACATCAGCCTCACTGTTGGCTTGTTTAGTATTATATATCTATTTTATTATTGCGAATTAAAACATTTTATTATTGCAAATCTATATATAGGACTATCTTTATAAACTTGCTTCAAAACACTCCACACACTGTATGTATATAGATAAGTTATAAAGTACTTTAAAATAAAACAAAAAACCATAGATTGGCTAATGAGTACATTAAAAGGGAAACTAGTCATACAAATTTCATAACAAGTGATTGCCATGTAAGATGCGCCCCCATTTTGCAAGAGATGGATAGAGAACAAGCTAAAAACAAAAGCGATTTTTTGTACAATCAGGGGCCATAATCAAGAAAGTTATGGTCCAAAATGTGCAAATATCAAAAGGGACCGAGATCTTTGGGATATACCGGTAAAGATATATTTTTAAGTTTCATCAAAATCGGATAAAAATTGTGACCTCTAGAGGTTCCACAACCTTCGTATTACATACTTTTACACAATTTCTGTGCAAAGAGCGGCCATTTGGAACTGAGATATTTGGGATATAAAGATATATTTTAAGTTTCATCAAAATTGGATAAAAACTGTGACCTCTAGAGGGTCCACAACCTTGGTTTGCCTTATTACACTATTTTGCCGATACCGTTTTTTTTTTTTAGGACTTCGAATTTTGTTTAATGGTTTGGATTGTTCGTACTTGGTTTTATTTTATTTATACTTTAACACAATTTGCGTACAAAGAGCGGCCATTTTGTCAGGCAGTTTCATTTCGATTTTCACGAAATTCAAATTCAACCTTCATTATGGTGGAATGGTGATATATTTAAACAGTTTTTAAAATCGGAAAAAAAATTGTGACCTCTAGAGAATCCACAAGCTAAAAATGCGATTTTTCGAACAATCTGCCCGGGCCATAATCCCGGAAGTTTCGTTCGGATATGTATGATTATCAAAACGCACCAAGATCTTAGTGTGTATTCACACATTTTTTTCTTAAATCGGATAAAAATTGTTACCTCTACAGGGACCATAAATTAAAAACGCGACTTTTCGTACAATCAAGGACCATAATTCAGGAAGTTACAATCCGATATGCGCGAATATCGAAAGGAACCAAGATCTTTGAGTTATAAACATGTATTTCAAGTTTCATCAAAAGCGGATCAAAATTGTGACCTCTAAGAGGTTCCAAAATCTTAATATGAGGGGCGGCAATTTTGGTCAGGAGTTTTGGTCCAATTTTCAAGAAATTCCAGCTCAACCAACATTATTGGTGTAACGGGGATATATACGAGGGACCACAAGCTAAAAAATGATTTTTCGTACAATCAGGGTCCATAATCCAGGAAGTTACGTTCGGATATACGTGATTATCGAAAGGAACCAAAATCTTTGTGATATAAACATAAATTTTAAGTTTCATCAAAATCAGATAAAAATTGTGGCCTCTACAGGGTCCACAACCTTGATATACCATATATTTACACTATTTGTGTACAAAGGGTGGCCATTTTGTCCGGCAGTTTTGGTCCGATTTTCACAAAAATCGAACACAAAATCAGATGAAAATTGTGACCTCTATCGAAAGGAACCAAGATCTTTTGGAGATAACCCTATATTTCAAGTTTCGTCAAAATCGGATAAGAATTGTGACCTGTAGAGTGTCCACAAATAAATTGTGGACATCCGGACGGACATGGGCGACGACAATATACATGTACGTCCACATGAAAATGTGGGCGTATAAAAAATTGAAAAAAATTATGGATAATTGAAATATTGACAAAAAAAGGCCTTGCTAATCACTGATAAAGCGTATTTTGGTCAGTAGCACCCAAAGTATTGCAAAAAGTGACATACAAGGAAGATATGTTATAGATATTCTACACATCATATCCAAAATATAAATCATTTCATAAAAATTGAAAAAAGTATGGATGATTGAAATTTTGACAAAAACAGTCCTGCAGGCCACAGACAAGAACTGGCAAGATAACATTTTTTTTTTTTTCAATATCAATTTTACTTATCCATAAATGCCAACTTTTTATGAAATTATTTAAATTTTGTCACTTTTTGCATTACTTTGAGCAATATTGACAGTGATTAGTAGGACCCATTATCTGTCACTGTCCATATTGTCGTCAATGGCCACAATTTTCATATTCAGCCTTCTGTATACATGATTGTGAGGATATTGCTTTTGTGGTAATTAAGATGAGACCCCAGAATCATGCCATTTTAACTTCCTAGATTTTTGGTTAATTTTAAGTATAGTGTCGTGAAACTGAAATGACGTTACTGTTTACAGACTAGTTTATTCTCGGTATAATATAGAATTTAACAAGTATTAAAATTGAGATGGACCATTAATAACTAATTCTCTGGACTTTTGAGTATTCAAAACATACTTAGACCAACTAATTAATTGCATGATACCTAAAATACAAGAATAACCACATAATAATAAAAACATTGTATCTTTAAGAGAATCAAGACCTTGTAGACCAAGTTTTCCAGTCTTATGTTCTTCATAACCATATCTGTTTAAAATGGCTACTGTTAACATTGGACATAGAGATTGAGCAGGTTTAACAATAAGAGCATTTGTTCCATATACCATGGATGTTATCGGATGACTAAAAAAAAAGAACAAAAATTTTATTATTTTAGCATACATTTGACTTATATCTCCCTAGTTTATGATAGGCAAATAGACAGGTAATAGCATGTCTTTGGGTCATTCCATGTCAAGTGGGTAAATTTTCAGAAATTTGGGAAATCGATCCTCTGGAAAAAATATATGTTATTGAACATGCAAAAACCCGAAACTGTGCAAAATTTGTGATCTGTAGATTAAAAATTCACTGAGATACGGACATTTGAGTTTCATGAGTTAACTTTGTAACAAAATATGTTTCAGATATCTTGTTTTTACCTTTCCAGTAAAGATATACAGCCCAAATTTAGTAGCGTTAGAGAACTTTGTGTGTAGACTATGAATCTGCAATCAGATTACAGGTGAGTGATAGGGTTCGCATGCTACTTGGCCATGAAAATCGAAAACAATATCGTGTAATTCTATGTTTTCTGGATTTTGTAGTGCTCCAGGAGCTACAAGGTAATAGATATAGACCCATATTTTGGCTTATCCAGAGATTGCCGGTAGTACTACATAGGAAACATATGAGAACGCATCAGTCTTCACTAAATTCCCAGAATATGGTTTTAGACAAAAAAATTCGAAAATTGCCTTGTATTTTCGAGCCGAAGGAACACGGTAGATGATCACCTAAAATTCTGAAACATGGTGTAATTATAGTTTGTACTAATGTCTCAAACATATGTTAAAGCCATTCTTGTCCCATGTAGCTCAGGAACCATTAGTCGGATCAAGCTAAAATTTGGAATATCAGCTTTTTCAGCCCTAATAAGCAAATAAACCATATTTCAGCAAAATCGAATTGGGTACGGTTTAACTCTGGGTGATAATTGGCATGGAATGACCCAACCGACACATTTTGAAAAAATCAAAGAAATATTGAGATGGCATGGGACGAGAATGGAATTAACATATGTTGGAGACATTAGTACAAACTTTAATAACACCAAGTTTCAGATTTTTAGGTGCTCATCTACCGGTGTAAATTGGCTCGAAAATATGATAATTGACATAGATTGACCCAAAACACAGATTTTGAAAAAATCGAAAAAAAATCTAGATGGCATGGAACAAGAATGGCTTTAACATATGTTGGAGACATTAGTACAAACTATAATCACACAAAGTTTCAGATTTTTTGGTGCTCATCTACCGGGTTCTATCTGCTCGAAAATACGAGGCAATTTTCAAAAACTTGTGTCTAAAACCATATTTGAGGCCAGTTGTCTGGGAATCTAGTGAAGACTGGTGCATTTTTATATGTTTGTTATGTGTAGTACTACCAACAATCTCTGGATAGGAGAAGATTTGGGTCTATATCTATTACTTTGTAGCTCCTGGAGCACTACACCAATTTTTTTTGTTTTTTTTGACCAAGTAGCATGCGAACCCTACTACCCACCTGTAATCTGATTGCAGATTCGTAATCTAAATAAAAATTTCTTCAAGGTAAAAAAAATATCTGAAATTAAAGTAAATTATTGAAACATATTTTGTTTCAAAAACTCATCGGTAACTCATGAAACTCAAATGCCCGTATCTCAAGTCAATTTTCAAGCTACAGACCACAAATTTTGCACTGTTGCTAGTTTTGACATGTTCAATAACATATATTTTTTCCAGATTTTTTCGAGGGGGGCAATTTCCCACCCCTGGCCCACTTGACATGGAATGACCCCTTTCTCTCTGCCTTTTTCACCTACTTTATGGCAGTTTATGTTAACTATATGGACTAGAATGGAAGAAAAGTGTTGGACATTATATATTTTGTAAAGTTTTGATGAGGCGGAATGATAATTGGGTAAATAGACATGGATAGCGATATTTGGCATTTTGGGGCTTTAACTTTACCTTGCTGTATCTGTTAGAAGCAGATATGTTTTACTAATCAGTGTGGTATTTCTCTTGCCAGGACATAGCTCATAAAAAAGCAACATGATGTAAAATTCCTTACCTTCGTCCATACTTGGACATATCATAGTCAGCTATTTCTGACAGTGGAATGTTGAAAAAACTAGCTGCTGCTGATGCAAAGGCACTGGAATATAAAACAAATAGGCCCATGGACCTTAATCACCCATCAGTTTTAGAGTAAACTGAAGCACTAATGATGACTATGAATTTTCAAAATATTAATCATTGCAATCACTTTCCATAAAATGAAATCAAATCAAATGGGCTTTAAAAAACCAACCTTGCTGAGGAAGATGGGAAGTGTGCTATGACAGAAACTTTGTCCATACAGCCATGCTACTGCCTACTCTTATTTCAAATTCGAACTGTCATTAGGTGCACGCTAATATGTACATCGACCTAGTTTTTTTGTCCCATCCAAATCGCCAGGGCCTCCATCCACTTAAAGGGGAAACTGCACTGAAAATCCATAGTCACTTTATCGGCCAACACAAGGATCAAAACCGGGACCTCTTGGTTAAATAATTATATTTTATATTCTTATTTTTAACATTATTACTTACCTATCTACTAAGATAAAAATCATCATAATTATAATATACTGACGTCCTAGCATAAACATAATTATACCAGCAAATATTTTCCATATAAAACTCCATTTTATGGTTTTATAATATCCAATATTTTGAGCCAGTGGTACACCTAATATAACAATCAACTTAAATAAAAGAAACGCAAAAATATTTGTCAAATCTTCTTTTTATTTCAGTGACAAAATATTTCTATCTAATTAGTCATATATTACGTTTGTCTTGCAATAATAATCAAACGCATATAAAAAATGCATCTACATATCGGAATGAAAACTTATGCTGTTGGAGCATTCACAAGACTCTGCAAAATTTTTAAGGTAAAATTTATTGCCAGAATACTTATCCATTTTACAAGAAATATATCAAGGGCAATAACTTCAAAAAAAATAACCATCAAGAATTCTGTACTGTATCACAGCTTGTAAGTTAAAGGCTAAGTAACTCCACAATTTTTTATCAAAATGCTTTGAATTTCAATCATGTTTTACCTTGTAACCAAATGAACAATCCCTCAACTTTCTGAAGACTTCTGATTTTTAGAGCGCTACTCTTTGTAAAAATGACAGGATTTAATCCATGCTTACACTGATGGAATCATTAAAGAACAGTTAATATACGTACCGATGATACAAAATGCAATGATCCATAAAAAGATTTTCTTATTGAAGAAGACACAACATCATCTGGTATTAACTCATCAAAAATTATGGCAACAAAATTGGACAGAAAAGTTCTGTGGAATCCCTGAAAAAAATTTACTATCACAAAAGTAATGAAATTTTTCTCTGAGAGAATTTGCCAGGTGAGGCGCCATACAGATGTTTCGGAAGATTTTTCGTGGGTAACTTCAACATTGGTTGAATCTTTTTGCATTTGGTTTAAATCATGTTCTGTATGTGCATATAATCCACAATAGACCATCAAAACTGTTCCTATAATAGCAATCCCAACTACTGTCAACTGAAACGCTTGAAAAGCCTTTAAACTGTCGGATGTAAATTCACAGATTAACACAGAAAGTGACGATAAGAGACCAGCAATGTTCGACCATTGAGTTAACTGAAGACGAACTTTAGGATCTGATGAAATCTCAGTAAACAAACAACAAAAAGCTAAACCAATATAAGTAAAGAAAGTATCATATAAACACAGAGCTGTTATCAGATGTAATCCAGTTACCCACGTTCCATGAGCCCATGGAAACCATATTAAAATAAAACTGAGAGAAAATAATGGAGCCGTATATAAGATAGCTTCTCTTCTTGTTTTAGTTAATCTAAAATTAGTCGTATCTTGTATATAAGCAAATAATGGATCATTTATCATATTCCACACTAAATATAACATTTGAGCAAACTGGAACCATCCTTCCTCAATCTTATAATAGTTGAGAAAAACTTTTACATAATAAAAGAAAAACACGTGATTCATCAATGAAAATCCCAAACAACAGGCACAATATGCCAACATCCTTTGCTTTAGCGACATAATGGTCGTTTGGTGTTTTTACACCCTGAAATATCAAAATTTCATTTCATAAGCAACAAAATAAAATGATTATGAGGTATAAAATCTTAGCAGACCAATTGTATCTTAAACAGGGTGTGACATTTTAATTAACTTGAATGGAAGGAAACCCATCTGTCACTGTGTCACTTATAAATTAAATGAATTTGCTCTGCTGTAATTTGTAACTAGTTACTTATAAAAGTAAGGAAGAAATTTAATAGACAAATGTTTTTGCTTTTCCATTTCCGGACCAAATTAAGAATTTGTGTGGCCTTCAGCCAAATGCTACTAGAGCTCACCTATATTGGACAAACAATAACAGTAATGTTTTGGTTGTCATTTTATTCTCTTGTTTTAGAATGGACCTTTAATGGAAGGTATTTGTATAGCAAACTAGCGTTGAGGAAATTATAACCTTTTCTAAGACTGTAGGGTAAGTAGATAGAATGGGTCTCTCTATGCCATAGTCTAGGGTAATACATACATCATTGGCATTGCTCCTCACATATTTACATGGACCAACATTTGCCAAATTTCAAACCCAATAATATTTTATGATGGAACTGAGTAGTCCACACACCTTAGTTGATAGATCTAAAAATAAATAAGTAAAAGATCCTTTAAACCCAACCATACTATAATAACAAATTAAAACCAAGTTTTAGAGTTTAAAAAAGTTCATGTAACAGGTTTAACAAAATGTATTGAACATCTCAGTACACATGTAATTATCACATTTTAATCATCTTGGAATTCTCCCCGGGTCTTCTCCCATTAGCCTACCCTTGGTAATAAATTCAACAGACCACAATTGAATTTTTTTTTCCAGTGTTGGATTAGATATTTTCAAAGGCTCTATTTTAATAATGTGTGCTTGATGGTACCAGTATCTGTCTACGATTCACATTATTTGTATATGCGCGGTGAAGAGATAGAGTTCTGGTAAGGAATTGATGTTACGTGAAAAATTAGAGTAAATATTCTGAAATTCCTACACTAACTGCATAACATAAACAATGACAATGGCCATTGCTAGATTGGCTTCTGATACTTGAGCTTTTGAGGGAGTGTGTCTATTCTTCCCGTTCAATCAAATTTATCCCAAGTTCAGCAAGATGACAGCCCTTTGTTTAATCTGGGGTCTTCACTAAAACTTTGGACATTGATTTAAGGTATTAAAAACGGTGAAAGTCTTGTTCATCTCCAAACAGTATTGTTTACATTGTATCCATTTTGATAGCCTCGTTTGTCACGCAATTAGTTTTTCTGCAATATTCTGCTATGCACTGGTTAATTGGGCATAATAAAATCGTTAGTCATGATGTAACGTTATGTAAACATATTTGTTCCAATTTGGAGCTCTACTTAAAGAGTAATGATATTGTTACACAGTTAGCTATTGGTTGTTAATCGGACTATTGACCAGTCATAATTTGAAACAGAAATTTGATTCTATTACAGCTGTGTTAAGTGGGATTAGCTCTAATCAAACGAAACACAGCAAGAGTATGCAAAGTTAACAGCTATAAAGCTATTTACAAGCAGTAGTGAAGGTTTAACATCCCTACTTTTCTGCATACAAGCAGCAAATTTGCACCAAACATCAAGATGAAATGATATGAAATGGTGTTTAACATCCTACTTTTATGTGCCGACTTGGCTTATAAAAATGGGCTAATGAAAATGGGCATATGCAATGCAGTGTACCTTGCGAGAAACTGAGTCTGAGCAGGATGGTCCTCCTGAACCCGTGCCTGTCTTTAGGAAACCAGCTAGAAAACCGAAATAATACCTAATTTAGCCATGTGTCCCTCTTGCCATGTAACTGTTGGATCTAAACCACAGCACCTGAATCAATGACAGACAGCCAGGGGCATACATAAAGATTTTGTTTGGGGGGGGAGGGTAGCAAAAATGCGACCGACTGATGCACATGTCCCTAATACAAGTGACGCAGGCAGTCAAGGGCCGAGCACCACAGATGATAGTTTTCTAGGGGCCAGCTAGTCGCTGATCTGGAAGCTGGGAATAGGGGTGGGGTGGGGTGCGGCGGTTCCAAATCTAGGGCGCCATCCACAATCACCACTACAATGAATGTCAACAAAATACTGGCTATAATGGGCGTCCCGGTAGAATATAACGTATGCAATTTAGGTGTAAGGATTCATGCAAATACATAAAAGTTGGGATTTTTCCTTCTATTTTGGATTTTTCCTTCTCTTTTGGCATTGTTTGTATTAATTCAGTGACCACTTATTTATTTTGCGACCGACTGCATTTATTTTGCGACCGATTTTTTTTTTCGCTGGGTACCCCCCCCCTCCCCTCCCCTATCACACACACACACTTATTACGCCCCTGTAGACAGCTCTCTCATTGCTATTCGCCCACTATTTAAAGTATTTTGAATATGGTAGACCCTCTTTGTCGGCAAACAAACTTTGTGCCGGTTGGTGCAAAATATGCCTTCTGTACCTAGCTGCCTAATTTTGTGATCGAATCCTCAGCCCAAACAAAGGAATTTCACTGGCTTACAGCTTTATAGGGCCTACTTATAATGGCGGTAGTGGGCTTGGAGACTCCACCTACCCACCCCCGATAGTTCGTTTCTGACCGGATTTAGCCCGTTATGACTAAAACTTGACCAAGCTCGCTAACCCGCGGGGGTCGAGCTTAATTTTATAAGGGCCATATATGCTCGTTATTCCCTTGACTATCCCTTTGGATGCCACCCAATAAACTTCGGATACAATTCTCGTCGCCTACCTTATACCTTAAATACAGACCATTTGGTCATACTTATAATACTATGATGTGACCTAAATAACTTAACAATTTGTAACGCGTCAACAGACAGAGACGTAGCCCCGCGTTAAAACCAACTAGTAAGGCTATTAAAATAATTTCCCATTGACTCTCGAAGTTATATAACTCCATATCAAAGCTCTTTTGGAACATTTCGTGGCGACTCTACGAGTCAGCAATTAGCGCCCCGCCCAACATATGTAGCCTAATTCAGATACCCTGCAGTTATTCCCTGGCTCAGGGACCTTTGCTAATTCACATGTTTACCTCCCGGGTAATTAATATTCACTAATCCATGCATTTGGAAAATAGAACACGTTTATTTACTCATGGATATTATACGGTCCGTGGTTTAATTCATCTAATCGTAATCATCAACAGTAGATCAAACAATCAACATAAGAGGCCATGCAAACAGGAAGATAGGTCAATAAATAACTTACACTACATTCGCCACAGTTGGAAAGGTCGTAGAAAATAAAAATCAAATACCCGGCCCAGGTTTAATCAATCTTAGCCGCCTGTCTATGGAGCGGGATTCCAGACATAATTCTAACTCTTAACCTGGTAATTGTTTCCGTGCTTTTTTTGCCTATTTACACATGTAAAAATGCTAATTTCCTTAATGATGCAGTTAGAATTTGTATTTTGTTCTATTCTCATTATTACTTTAATTGGTGGTCAGTTTTTTTTATATTAAAGTGGTTTGTAGTCACTATTTTCATAAATTATTCTCTAGATTTCCATGAATTAATATATTTAATTCCATATCTATTACTTGATTCATATCATTATTATAACATCCCTATATCATATTTCCATGTAAATACCTAGGCCTATACTAAATCTTCTCGTTATTTATGTATTTATAATAATTATACATCATCATAATTGTATTGAATGCTGTGCCATTATCAAACCCGTTTGGTAAATGTTTAGGCCTACATTACATACTTTTGTTCTGTTGGTAAATCTATATTATAAGCTAGATTAAAATTACTTTTGTCTTATTTGTAAATATTATTTGTCATATTGTTATAAATATATATGTACATGTTTATTGTATGCTGTCCTAAATGGATGTTTCGATACAATAAAATCTTATCTTATCTTATCTTAAATTTGGACATTCCACAAATACATAGTAGTGGACAATAAAAACCCATTTCAATCTATTCAACAGTGTACTAAACATTATTTTCTATTCTAATTTTTTTTTTTTTCAAATTGAGGACATGTTTTTTTTTGTTTTGCAGTAGTGGACAATAAACACCATTTCAATCCATTTCTGTTCAAATTATGTAAAAAAATAAAACCGATTTCAATCTATTCAAATTGAGGACATGTTTTTTTTTATGTTATGCGGTAGTGGACAATAAAGCCATTTCAATCTATTTCTGTTCAAATTTAATGTAAAAAAAAATCATACATAAAAACACTCAAATGAGCCCAACAAAACAAGTTACATTAATAATATTGTTTGACATAGTGTATTAAATACATAATATTGTTTTGAAAAATCATATTTTAGCATGTGTATTTAGGTGCTATGTGGGATGTGTATATTTATGCTGCTGCATGTAATGCATATCAAGGTATGTATATTAAGGTGTTATCAAGTAATGTGTATTAAAGAGTAAGGTGTATTAAAGGGTAATGTGTATTAAAGTGTAATACAGCGTTGTATGTAATGTGTTATATGTACTGCATATTAATTAATGTGTGTAATGTAATTGTGTATTGAGGATTATTTATAACAGTATATTGGCACCTTAGACTGGATGGCATATTATTATATTATCAATATCCCAAAATCCAGAGAGGAATTTGACAACTCCTAATTATAAGGAACAGAAAGTTTGGTGATTTAATTCAGCAGTCATCCAGGCATCTGTATACAAAGCATATTAAGAATATTCTGAAGTTTCAGTTTGCAACACTATAGCCCAGCAAAGAAATATAGAAATAGATAGCTTTAGCTGGAGAATATATGCAGTCAGTAGTGGATATTAAACCCCAGTTAGGTTGGGTTTTTTGTAAACCGTCTAATAGGGTGGTTGTTATTGTACAAAAAGAGGGTTTGACATTCCTTCCAACTACCACACTTACTCTGATTTTTGCATGCAATTTCATTGGTTGTTTTGATTTATTTGGGACACAGATGACATGAATTACAAATTGTTCATAATTTATTGCTTTAGTTGCATTTCTTAATTGGGTGTCAGAATCTTAAAGGGTATTAAATGCTTTTAACAGACCACATGCAGGCAAAATATTGTTAAAAGCACTGCTATGGTATAGTCCGGCCGACCTATGACTGAACTTAGAAATTGTATACAAAGTTTTTTTTTATGATTGATTTTAGTAGCCTAGGGTGTCCCCGTTCAGAATCTGCCGGGTGAACCTCGGTCACCCTTGAGCGTTTTGAGAAATTCAAGATGGCGTCCAAGACGGCCGCCACATCAAATAATCCCCTATAACTCCCATAGTATTTATTCTAGGATGATAGTTTTGGTGTCTAACCATATGTTTCTGAGGTCAAGGAATACACTGAAATCATTTATTATGTTGTGGGGTGATTAGATGATATTAAAATCAAACATGCCAGACAATATGACCCTTTAACTCGTTATCGGCGATTGGGGGCGATTATTTCACCGAACCAAACTAAATCTAGAGACAAACTATATATTTCTGGACATAGGAGCGTATGAGTGATAGGATAACACCACATAATCCCTATCAGGGCATTCAGGGCCACATGGGTCGGTCCTGAAAAGGGAGGCACAATCTGATTGTTGAAAAATTAAAAAAACAAATTCTGCCCGCAAAACAGGAATATAACTTCCACAAAACTAGATAATATCCAATTTAATACTATAGTCGAGTTTCTGGCTGCAACCTGTGACAGCACAAGCGCAAAATATTGTATATTCTAAGCCCTCCCTAGTGCAGCTACAAGCACACGTACTACATGAGCTGTCACTACTGCATCCACATCTGATGAGCCAAATGGCAGACTCCGGAGCAAGTTTACCGGTTGTGATGTTTTCAATTCAGTGTCCTTCTCCCAGCAATACAGTTCCGGATCAAGTTCCGACGGATTCCGATCTTCCAGTGAACGCCACTCAATAGCTTAAGACACTAAATTGAAAACATCACAATATACAATATTTTGCGCTTGTGCTTTCACAGGTTGCAGCCAGAAACGCGACTAAAGTATTAAATTGGATATTATCTAGTTTTGTGGAAGTTATATTCCTGTTTTGCGGGCAGAATTTGTTTTTTTAATTTTTCAACAATCAGCTTGTGCCTCCCTTTTCAGGACCGACCCATGTGGCCCTAAATGCCCTGATAGGGATGTATGTGGTGTTATCCTATGACTCATACGCTCTTATGTCCAGAAATATATAGTTTATCTCTATGGCGGGATTTAAGGGCCAAAACTAAATGTATGTTGAAATTGTTATTATACATCATAGAAAATACCTAATACCTAAGATGCAAAATACATATGTCGTTATACTTATAATGATAAATACATAATACCGTTAAAGTAAAAGTCAAATGTCCAATTACAAATGTTATTTGGAAAAAATCCACTAATGTGCACAACCATTTCACATATACACTTCAACAAAGCAACTTTGCAAAATGACATTTGTCTTTTGTCTTTTGCATCTTGAGTTCTTGAGGTAAACGGTCAACGGTCAAAGGACATCGGGTTACATGTCAAATTGTTAAAATGAATGCTCCCAAAGAAGGAAAGATAAGCTTGTCGTCGTCGTCAGCTAAAAGCAGCTTAAGTGACATTCTGACACTATGTTGTATGGATTTTGACTTTACGGCTTTACATGTTATTATCAGTTAATGGAATCTTGCGTCAATTTAAATGTACGGAAACTGTATATTATATTTGGAAAGATTAAATATATATTAAATGCTTATTATGTACGACAACTTTTTGAAATAAAATTTAAATTTTACTTTGATTTTGTATCTGTTCTTTGTTGTAAATTTTTATTAAGGAGCTCATTTCATGAAAACAAAACGATTATTCCATTTAATGAAGTGTTCTTTAATTAAGAAAGTAATTTCAATGATTAATTTTAAAATGGTTCATTCAACAATGTTTTAAAGTTATTACTGGCCTGCCAGCAATCAAAAATTTAATATAACAAGAGATGGAAAACGTTTCATATCCCACCCCATATACTTGCCTATGCCTACTACAGTGAATAATAAGAACAGATCTGATTCTGATTTAATATTTAATTTCATTTATTTATTTACTCAAGTGCAGTTTACGAAAGTTATCCGAAATATGAAACACCAGTACCGTACCACAACTCCCCCAGGAAACTGTAATTTACTGACTTTACACAGGCCCATGGCAATGGTATTTAAACAAAAAATATGACAGCAAAAAAAATAAGTGAAATGAAATGGGATTTAACGTCCTAATTTTCTGCTCCTAATGAAGACCGCCATACGGCATACAGTGTGCTATGGGGGGAAATTTTGCCCCGGCAGCGGCACTGTAGCCTACTCTTATATCGAATTCCAACTACCAGGGGATCTTTTACGTACATGCCAATGTATACACGGGTCCTCGGGTTTTCGTACCATCCAAACGACTAAACAGTTGTCCTTGACAGGCCCCCCGTTCTAAAAAAATAAGATGCCGCATGAATATGCCTATACAATTATACATTCTGACAGTCAGCACGCGTGACCCTGATTTAATTTAAACTTGTGTTAGCCCAAGTCACATTCGGTATTTATCAAAAAGTACATTAACATTAAATTAAATTTATTCTAAATATGTTCAATCTAGATGTAGGCCTATTTTGTGTGAAGTTTATAATTAATATGACTATATAGGCTACGTGCATTAACATTGGCTAGTCTACAATTAAAACCGAATTGAAATATATATGGGTATATAATGTCCCAGAAACTTCGTTTGTAAGAATGATTAATGATAATTTTAATAATGGGTGGCACCTTGTTTAGATTACACAGACTTGCACTGTATAGTTAGCGTATCTAATATCAACATCATGACTGACAAGTCTCCAGATACTAAAAGAAGGTCCAGCCTAACCCGTTCTTTCCTTCTTGGGAGCATTCATTTTAACAATTTGACATGTAACCCGATGTCCTTTGACCGTTGACCGTTTTCCTCAAGAACTCAAGATGCAAAAGACAAAAGACAAATGTCATTTTGCAAAGTTGCTTTGTTGAAGTGTATATGTGAAAAGGTTGTGCACATTAGTGGATTTTTTCCAAATAACATTTGTAATTGGACATTTGACTTTTACTTTAACGGTATTATGTATTTATCATTATAAGTATAACGACATATGTATTTTGCATCTTAGGTATTAGGTATTTTCTATGATGTATAATAACACTTTCAACATACATTTAGTTTTGGCCCTTAAATCCCGCCATATATCTCTTGATATAGTTTGGTTCGGTGAAATAATTGCCCCCAACCGCCGCTAACTAGTGAAAGGGCCATATTGTCTGGCATGTTTGGTTTTAATATCATCTAATCACCCCACAACATAATACATGTTTTCAGTGTATTCCTTGACCCCAAAAACATACGGCTAGACATCAAAATTATCATCCTAGAATAAATACTATGGGAGCTATAGGGGATTATTTGATGTGGCGGCCGTCTTCGATGCCATCTTGAATTTCTCAAAACGCTCAAGGGTGACCGAGGTTCTACCGGCAGATTCTGAAAGAGGACACCCTAGGCTACTAAAATCAATCATAAAAAAAAACTTTGTATACAATTTCCAGGTTCACTCGAAAAATTGGGTTTGGCGACCGACCGGACTAGTAGAGTCTAATCTGAGGGAGATAAAGAAAAATATAAATCCATTTTGTTTCTTGTCATATGTTATAATTTCTCAATAAATAGAAATAACAAATATTCTAACCAAGAAATATAAGTATTTTATGTACAAAATAATTAATAAATTTAATTTCTTCAAATAACAACCATAAAATATTTGCCCAGAAGATGTATTTACAAATAAATGCTGTAATTTTCTGAAAATGTTATGAACATTCTTAAATTCTCTAAAAGTATTGTTAAACCATTAATGATCTTTCTCTTTTAAAATTTCCTTATGATCTTATGGGACATATGACGGTGTAGTCAGTATTTCTTCAGTTAACAACAAAACAAGTTTCATCACTTTTTAATCCATTCTGTGTAAATTTAAGAGGGGAGATTTGCGGTGCAAGTTTCTCCCTAGTCATGCATTTATGAGCATACAACACCTACATCTCCTCTAATTAAATTCAATACCGTATTTCATGTTATATACTGAAGAATATATCCATTCCATTTAAAATATATAATGAATTAAAATTGAGATGGAACACTAATGACTAATTTTGTTGATTTTTGTTGTTTTAAAACATACTTAGACCAACTAATTAATTGTATGATACCTAAAATACAAGAATAACCACATAATAATAAAAACATTGTATCTTTAAGAGAATCAAGACCTTGTAGACCAAGTTTTCCAGTCTTATGTTCTTCATAGCCATATCTGTTTAAAATGGCTACTGTTAACATTGGACACAGAGATTGAGCAGGCTTAACAATAAGAGCATTTGTTCCAAATACCATTGATGTGATCGGATGACTAAAAAAAAAAAAAAAAAAAAAATTTTATTATTTTAGCATACATCCATATGTGGCTTAATCGAAATTGATGCAAATATGTTTTCATATAGTTGAGCATTCCGATACATGTTGTCACAAGAGTGATAACCATGTTAGCTTATGTGTATTCTGTTATTATTCAATGACAAACTTTAGAATAATCAATGAAATAATGAATTAAATGAAAATTAAATTAATGACTTGACAAAAGATATCTGTATATATAATGTTCTTATGGTCCCGTGTACACATTGGCGTGCACGTAAAAGATCCCTTGACAGTTGGAATTCGATATAAGAGTAGGCCGTAGTGCCGCTGTCCAGGCAAAATTCCCCCTCATAGCACACTGTATGGCGTATGCCTGTCTTCATTAGCCCAGTTCGGAGCAGAACAATAGGACGTTAAACCCCATTTCATTTCATTTATTTGGGGGAGGAGAGCTATGTCATTCAACCTTTTTTTTTTTTTTTTACATAGGTTTGAGAGTCCACTCCATATGTGGGGGGTTGGATGGCTGAATGGTTAGCACGTGCACGCTGTATCATAAGGCCTGTCATTGAGTCACCTGGCGTGGTTTCGAAACCCCGGTTGTACGTGACAAGGAGTAGGGTCGCCTGTCCAAACTCCAAACTCGTGGGTTTTCTCCAGGTCCTCTGGTTTCTTCCCACTGCTAAAGACCCCTACGCGCAAGCAAATTATTGAAATAAAATTAAATCATATGTTAGTCCCAAAATGACCTAGCTTGTGTGGAGTGGACGTTAAACTCTCTCTCTCCCTCTCCCTATCTCTCTCTCTGTGATATCCTGTTTCTAACTATTGTAGAGAATCTAGATGAGCTATTTTTTCTGAATACTTTGCTGATATGCAGTGTACATTATGTATATTAATAAAGTTTTCACCTTCGCTTGTACTTGTACATATCATGGTCAGCTATTTCCGACATTGGAATGACGAAAAAAGTAAATGCCGCCCAGGAAAAGGCGCTGAAATTAACAATTACATAAAAGGATTTAAAATAAAATATGGCATTTCTTTAATTAATATTTGTATGTGATCAGAATCAAGAAATGAAATGAAGTTAAACGTTCTAATTTTCTGGGGAGCCACAGCTGCTCAGTGAATAAGACCCTGGCTCACTTAACACAAGGTCCAGGGTTCGATCGCAGTGTTGGCAGAGAAAGTTCCCCAGGATTTTCTAGCATGGTTTCCCCTTGTTAGTGACGTAGGATGGAGGGCCTGACTAGGAAAAGTGTCTAGTCATTCGGATGGACAAAATAAATCTGACATCCTGTGTTCTTGTTGGCATGCACATGAAAGAATCCTTGATGGTTGAAACTCAATTGTTGTCTGGGCAAAATTTCCCTCACAGCATAGTGTGTCGCATATGGTTGGAGCAGAAAAGCAGGATGTTAAACCACATTTCATTCATTCAATCCTACTTTTCTACATCAAGCAGTCTTCCAGTTATTTGTCATACAGTGTGCTATGAGGAGAGAGGGAGAGAGAGATGGGGTTTAAAGGGACAATAACACTCTTGCTGGCTTGAAAGCTCCAGAAAATAAATAATATCTCTATCTAAGTACTAGATGTTTAAGTGTCCTACTTGTTGTGTAACTTATCCATTACATCCTATTTTACTTGTCCAGAGGGTTCGAAAATATTTTTAAATCGAAGTTTCATTTGAAAAGGTTTACGTTAGACGTTTCAAACCATTATGTTGAATTTTTCAAAATTATAAGGTGTGTTAAGTTGAAATTTGTATCATCAATTAATTGAAATATTCTAAAATAGTACAATTTGTTTACCAGAATAAAGATTGGGACATATTATTCAGTTACAACAAGAGTGGTATTGAGCCTTTAATGCCCACTCGACACACACTAGGTCATTTTGGGACTAACACATGGTTCAGTTCAATTTTATTTCAATAAATCACTTGTGTGTAAGGGTCTTTAGCTGTTGGAGGATTCGGAGAAAACCCACGAGGTTGGACAGGTGACTCTACTCCTTGTCATGTACAATCGAAACCATGCCACTTGACTCAATGACAGACCTTAGATCCAACGCGGACATGTTTAACCATTCAGCCCCCAAACCCCCATGCTATGAGGAAAATTTTGTCTGGACAGCAACCTTTCCACCTATTCTTCATCAAATTCCAATGTCAAGATGTAATTAGCATGAGTGATTGCAAAATGTGTATGTATATTTGGAATACAAGCTAAAGGAATTTTAACATAACTATTACTTACCTGTCTAATAAAACATAAATCATCATAATTATAATATACTGACGTCCTAGCATAAACATAATTATACCAGCAAATATTTTCCATACAAAACTCCATTTTATAGTTTTATAATATCCTATATTTTGAACAAGTGGTACACCAAAGATAACAATCACCTGAAAAAAAGATAAAAATAACTTTTCACATTTGCATTTCATCACAATGACCAAGTATTTCTATGTTTAATAACTTTCCTTGGTGACTATTTTTGTAAACACATTATTAACAATAACTTGTGATATCTTCTTTATCCGTTTAATAAAAATATCTACGGATTCATTTCGAGGACCATCTAGGTTTTCCTTTAAATAAGGTTCAAGGCTACAAATGAAATTGTCGAACATATAGTTATTTTAATATTATATCTACATGTGTTTAAGTCAGCAGTTATAAATTGAAATCTATTCAACCAGGTCATTTTATGACTAACATAATCAATATCTTCATCTTTATTTGATTAAAAGCCTCTTTATCAGGGGAAGAAACAATAACAACCAATGCTATTCCTTGTCATGTTCATGTACAGGGTGAGGCTATAGTGATCTCATGCATGCAGTAGATATCTAAAAGTCATGTTTACACGACAAGTACGGTAGTAGGGTTGTCTGCCTGCCAACATGGGTTTTTTCATGATACCCTGATATCTTCCTGTTTCTAAAATTTCCTGCACACATGCAAATAAGCTATTTATTTTCATTAGCTCAGTCGAAGCAGAACAATAGGCCACTAAACCCCATTTCATTTCATTTCGCTATTGTTATCATGGGATTCAACTCACACTTGCACAGGTAGCAGATCAATGATCCACAACACACTTTGATGCAGTAAACCAATTTTATTCCTTATCATGACAGAGGGATCAACATCAGATCTAAACACAATTTCATATAATTAGATACGTACTGATGCAACAATATTCAGTGATCCATAAAAAGATTTTCTTATTGAAGAAGACACAACATCATCTGGTATTAACTCATCAAAGATTATGGCAACAAAATTAGAAAAAAAAGTTCTGTGGAATCCCTGAAAAAAATTTACTATCACAAAAGCAATGAAGTTTTTCTCTGAGAGTATTTGCCAGGTGAGGCGCCATACAGATGATTCAGAAGATTTTTTATGGGTAACTTCTTCTTTGCTTGAATCACTCTGAATTAAGTTTATATCGTGTTCTGTATGTGCATATAATCCACAATAGACCATCATTATTGCAGCCACAACTGCTATCCCAACTGTTGTCAACTGAAATGCTTGAAACGATTTCAAACTGTCGGATGTAAATTCACAAATAAACACAGAAAAAGATGCTAAGAGACCAGCAATGTTCGACCATTGAGTTAACTGAAGACGAACTTTAGGATCTGATGAAATCTCAGTAAACAAACAACAAAAAGCTAAACCAATATAAGTAAAGAAAGTATCATATAAACACAAAGCTGTTATCAGATGTAATCCAGTTACCCACGTTCCATGAGCCCATGGAAACCATATTAAAATAAAACTGAGAGAAAATAATGGAGCCGTATATAAGATAGCTTCTCTTCTGGTTTTAGTTAATCTAAAATTAGTCGTATCTTGTATATAAGCAAATAATGGATCATTTATCATATTCCACACTAAATATAACATTTGAGCAAACTGGAACCATCCTTCCTCAATCTTATAATAGTTGAGGAAAACTTTCACATAATAAAAGAAAAACACATGATTCAGTAATGAAAAACCCAAAGAACAGGCACAGTATGCCAACATCCTCTGCTTTAGCGACATTTCTCTTTGGCTTCTTCAATTCCACTCCTGAAAAATTCAATTTAATTTGACAAGTGACAAAATAAAAATAAAACATTATCTAAATCATATGGCAACTGATTCCTGTAAGCTTAAATCAGTATCGCATATCTTTGCTCCGCATTCCAATACCCATCAGGGTATAGATGTTGTTTATGTGGAGAGCACAAGCAGGGTATTTGCCTATGTCATGTGTCCAAAGATATGTTTTTCAGGAAGAGTATGACATTTTCAGGAAATAACTAGAATTTATAGTCAAAGGGGTGATATTAATATTCAGGCAATTAATTTTCATTGATAAATTTAGGAAAGACTTTCCACACCCTCAAAATTTTAAGACCGGTTTTGTAAGCCTATGATGAGCGAATTCTTGTTTAAGGGCAAGGTAAAGTGACAACATCTTGTTGCAAACTAGTCTCGACACCAACAAGGCTGAACATATTATTTTCCAACACAGAATAGTGGTCCTTGGATACAAAAGACCAAAATAAACTATGGGCGTATTTAATATATTATTTGACTGTAAATACCCCTCTAAATCGTACACCCGCGTGTTATCGTGTATTTGTACGGCCGGATAAGTAGTCTAATACATTTAAAGTTATTTCTACCTGGGTTCTGCACGACAATGAATTTTTCTATCTACATGTAGCTATTTTATCTATTCCCCATGGATAGTATACAGCAATCAAACATTGTATATAATCATAATGTTATAATCATCTTTTCTTCTGGTTCAGTGTCTGTATTCTATAGTGCATAATGCCTAGTCTACTCTACTCTGCAATTCTATTGACAATATACAATTAATGTAATAGTACTACTAGTAGATATGAGTATTATACGTAGGCTACGATGAACAAGAAGTTTCTGGTCAAATTAGATTTATCTCCCCTTATATATCACTCAGGGCCCCGTTACACAAACCGCACGTCAGACTTCTTCTTCGTACATCGAACTTATTAATACCATACTACGACACATTACTTGATACTCGCTCCCTGCAATAGATCCACTGTGCGTGTACCTAAGGCATCTATATGTAGTCCGACTTACTTTGGTCCACGGTGTGGCAGTTTCAGATGGTTCCTGGTGTGTGATTACCGTTTGGCGCATGCGCAATTGTAGGAGTCAACTCACACCGTTACAGTCGCGGTGTGCATTGACTCCTCGTGATAGGATTTCCCCTACGATTTTCTTACGGTCAAATCAATATATAGACTATTATGTACCGATATTTACAGTATTACCACCACGAGAGGATGCAAATTGACGATCTTTATTATTATTATTTAGTATATATACCCGTCCACAATGCGAACCGATCTGTAGAATATCTCACATCTGTCAGTGTTTATACCCACAATTCTAACCCTAACCCTTCAGAATAGTTTTAGCCACAATCCACTGTTGTTACAGCTTCAATTTGTACGTTTGACATGTAATTTATAAACCTAACCCTAACCCTAGAGAAAGCTATTCTCCAGATGACACAAAGATCTAGTATTATTCCATACTGTCGTCCAGGGCACGCTACTGGATCTTGACCATCCCAGGAACCAACTCGCACCGCAGGAAGTAGATATAGTTTCGTTGTTAAGGCGAACATCAGTTTCGGACATGCGCAAGTGCCCAGGAGAAAACACGCACCAGGAGTCAACTCAAACCATTACACACTCAGTGTTTTCGCATTAGCTCGAGGCCCATTAATCCGACACTAAAAACTTGACAGGTCGGCTTAATTTTCCTGCGTGTATTTGGAGGATACCCATAAATGTGACAAGTCTTACTTAATCAGTGATTGATAGGCTACCATTGGGTGATAAAAGGCTTTATCACCCAATAATACATTCCACAGTAGATATCGCTTGTGTGATATATTTCATAATCTACTGCGATATCTCCTTAGGAGATATCGCTTTACATGAATTTGATTGGTCAGTTGAAATGGAACTACTTTTTCTTATTTTCAAAGAACAGTTCATTTCTTATTAAAAGTAACTTTTTTTATATTAAAAATGAACTATTGTTATTCAATTGACCTTGATGGAAACACTGGACCAATATAGAGGACTTTGCAATGGTTGAATTGCTGTCAAAAAATGATGTATCACTACGCTGTAATGTTCAGTAAAAGTGAAATCTACAGCAAAGAATTATATTTATCTATCTGTGCATGTAAGAAGGGATTGGGTGATAAATAAAATCTCCTACTCGTCTTTTTTGATATCAAAAAATATCAACTTGTGCTGATATTTTTTGATATCAAAAAAGACTTACAGGAGATTCTCTATATTCTCTAATATTACCAAATAAATTATTCAAACATACATTATGCTAGACAAATCGGCCCCGTTTGTCGCGACGCAGGAGCGCCATCACGTAATGATCTCTAAAACTATTATGGCCACTTCCGCCTTCATTTCTATCGGGTTTGGAGCTCAAAGTACGGCAATAAACTCGCTCTAACTTGACTGAATGAAAAATCTAACATACCTTTCGACTTTGTGGAATAACAATCTATAATTCTACTGATCTTTTTTTTGAAAATCTTATCGGATTCCTGAGAACAGATGTAGGCCTATTTTCTTCATGATCACCATCAAAACATTGAAGAATCCATTATGTCGTAAATTTTATGTTAATTAGATTGCCATTACTTAGATTTTCCTTTTTCTCACTGTTTTATTGTCGATTTGGGATGATACGAATATTTAGTATATATTAAAGACGTCTCTATTCAATTGACCTCATTTGACGTTTAAACCTATATAGTGTACATGAATTTTAGGTACTATTTTTTTTTTGCGGATGAATATAGCTGTTCTGTATTGTATTCTGTTGTAGACTGTGAAAATTTTGGATCCATGTGTCGACGCTTTAAATCACATGGATCCATTAAACCTTCTAACTGTTTAATTCCATTTTTTTTCATTGAAGATTCTTATATTACAAATCTTTCTTTACACTAGAAACGTAATCACTGGATAACAAACCTCATCTCTCAACCGTCCGTAAGCACATCAGTATATCTCAATGTTTTTAGTTACGCTCTCGTAGCTAACATGCAAGAGCTAAATCTAGCTGCCCATCGGAGTATTGCAGGTCCTTTTTTAGGCCTGAAATGTTATCTAAATTATTAATTATATATAGACATTAATTAACTTATCCAGATAATAATCAACCCTCGATGTCATCGCTAGCCTGCGATATTTACTGGATTATGATCCCATTTGCTGCTCAACATTCATTCATGATTTAATCATGAAGTGAATAATCGAGACTATGTTTTCTATCGTACCGACTTTAGTAATGATGATCAAGGCTAGGCCGAAATTTCAATCGCTTAATTCTCGGTTCATAGTGGATCAGTTTGACTGAAATTTTCAGCAAATGGCCTTTACATTATCTAGTTTTTAACTATTATAGTGAGAACTGCCAGCTCTTTATCTAATCTCCCATTATGTATCTTTAATAAAAAAAAACAAAAAAAAAACAACGACAGCATCGCTATCCCTGCAATATACATCCACATTCCTGGGGCCTGTTTCACGAAATTTGAACTAAGATAAAATCCAACTTTTAATGATTTGATTGGATAATATTAGATTGACTTTAGTGTTTAGCCAATCAAAATTGAAGTATCTACTAAAATTGGATTTTATCTTCGAGAAACAGAGCCCTGCTTTGATTGATATGATACTTTTTAAAATAAAAAGAATGAAATATGAAATGGCTGTAATATGACAAGAGGCAAAGAAGGCTAGGCGTTGGGTTTGTTTTGCCAAATTTTGAGACAAAATATTAACAAAACAGTGGGTATGACACTGCCCCAGGGGTTCGGGGCATGCACCGAATTAAATAGTTGCTGTCTTTACGGTATAAGGAATAAATATGCAAAGTTCCAAGATGATCCACTCAGAATTGCAGCCTGTAGACGATAAATACAAAATTTTGGCGCGGATCTGCCCCTGGGGGTTGGATATGGAACAATATAAATAGGTAACACACTGTTATTGAAATGATTGATATGCTCAATTTGAACAAAATCTGTTAATTATTGCAACTTGTAGAGTATTTACCGATAAAAACTAACAAAAAGTGGGTGTGGTACCACAACCCTGGGGGATCGGGACATGCACCAAAAATAAATAGTTGCTGTCCTTGCTGTATAAGGAATAAATATGCCAAGTTCCAAGATAATCCATTTAGAATTCCAGTCTGTAGACAAAAAACACAAAAATTGGGCGTGGCTCTGCCCCACGGGATTGGACATGGACCAATATAGGTACAACCCTATGCTGGATCATACCGAATTGGATCCAAATCTGTTAATAATTGCAACCTGTATATCATTAACAGACAAAATATCAACAAAAAGTGGGTGTGGCACCGCCGATAAGGCAGGGGGTGGGGGTGCAGGGGGTGCAGGAAGAGGGGGGCATGCATCAACACCAATAAATGCCATCCTTAGAATATATAAGGAATAAGTATACCAAGACAATCCATTCAGAATTGTGGCTTTCTGGCGCTAAAGGCAAAAGTTGGGCGTGGCTCTGCTCCTGGGGGTAGGGGAATTCACCAATATCAATAGTTGACGCCCTTAGGCTATAAGGAATACATATGCCAAGTACCAAGCTGATCCATTCAGAATTGCGGCCTTTAAACGACAAACACAAAAATTGGGCCTGGCTCTGCCCCTGGGGTCGGAACATGCAGTTGTCGTCCTTAGGCTATAAGGAATACATATCCCAAGTTCAAAGACGACCCATTAAGAATCGTGGCCTGTAGGCAACACACACAGACACAAAGAATAAATGGTTATGGCTCTGCCCCTGGGGGTTGGGCAATCACCAAAAAACAATAGGGGTCATCCTTAGGGTATAAGGAATAGGTATGCAAAGTTTCGAAAGGATCTGTTACGAATTGCGGCCTTTAGGCGAACCCCAAACACACAAACATTGGGCGTGACTCTGTCCTAGGGGGTTGGGCATACACCAAAAATAATAGAGGTCAGCCTTAGGGTATAAGGACTAAGTATAAAAAAGTTTTCAAGACGATCGATTAAGAATTGTGGGCTGTATGCGACATACATACACACAAAAATAAAATGGGCTTGGCACTGTCCCTGGGGGTTGGGCATGCACCCCAAACGATAGGGATGTTCCTTAGGGTACACAGAATAAGTATGAAAAGTTTCAAGATGACACGTTAAGAAATGCGGCCTGTAGACGACAAGCAATGTTCGTGGCTCTGCCCCTGGGGATTGGGCATGCACCAAAAACAATAGGGATCACCCTTAGGGTATAAGGAATAGGTATGTAAAGGTATAGATAATCACTTAAGAATTGTAACCTGTAGGCGACACACAGACACACAAAAAGAAAATGGGCATGGCTCTGCCCCTGGGGGTTAGGCATGCACCCCGATGATAGTGGTGTTTCTTAGGGTTCAAAGAATAAGTATGCAAAGTTTCAAGATGATAATGTACATTAAGAAATGTGGCCTCTAGACGACAATTACAAGACACGGGCGTGGCTCTGCTCCTGGGGGTCGGGCATGCACCAAAAACAATAGGGATGATCCTTAGGGTATATGGAATAAGTATACAAAGTTTGAAGAAAATCCAGTAAGAATTGCGCCTGAAGGCGACCCACAGACACACATGTATTATTCAACCCAACAATTTGTTTCGGGTAACTCAACTTTTCACTTTTCAAATTAACTTGCCACGCCTATAAAGTGTTATAAAACCTTACAACTTATATTCAGCATATCCTTTACTAAGATCTAAACAGTATATTTGTTCTTCACAATCTTCAAAGAGCGAGAATAAATTTATTTGACTCGTCCCTGTCGGCTTTCTTTTTCCCCTTTGTATATGGAGTCTATATCATAGACTACTAGATAAGAAACATCATCTCCCGACCCAGCGTAATATCTCAACGTTTTTAGCTACGTTCTAGTAAACATGCTATCAATCTGATTAAACACAGATCCTATTTCGTTTCATTTTTTATAGTCCAAAATTTCATTTTACTTGTCTTTGCTGCACTAGTATCTGGAAGAGTTGTTATATTACCGGCGTTTTGGTTGAAGTGAGGGATTAGCCAATGAAACGGTTTGTTACGGCGACTTCTTGACGTACCATGCACGGAATTGTTGGTAAACCACTAGAAACGTCAACGCTGATTGATCAATCGATGTCTGACGTCACAGGGTCAAAAACCGCAAATCCCTATATATATATCTATATAGGCTTTGAAAATCCGCTCGTACGACCCATGACACGACCTTCCAGTACAACCGGTCAGATCTCCGTATAGTGTAGGCAGTCGAAAGTATAATATAGTGTAGGCAGTCGAAACGAAACAGATCTGTATTTTAATCAGATTGATATGCTACCTACGTACGATAGCTAATACCACTCCAACAGGCAAAATATTGCACTTTGTGGTTTCTTTATTGAAAAAATCACTAAAAAGGGCCAATTAACACTCGGAATTACGGGGGGGTGGGGGAATAGTTGAACATAAAGATAAACGGATACAAAACATGGTCAACTGAGCTTTATATTATATATATTTTTTAATTCACTTATATTTCATCTAAAATATAAGGTGATTATTAAAATCTCTGATTGTCATGTGTTGGATTTTGAATTCCTTGCAAACTTCAAGCAGGAATATCAGTCCAAAAATTGTTCTGTTCCGTTCAGTATTTACAAAGATATGATGACGACGATATAAACGGACTATGACAAGACAGTGGCACCAAGGTTAGATTGAGAAGATGTATGACTGGGCACCTAAATTGTACAATAAACAATATGTCATAATGTTACGGTAGAGTTTAACAAGGAGGACATACAATTTTCGCAGCTATGCGGTAAGCCAACCAGGGGACATTCGCCAGAATATGCCCCCTGTTCACTGTTGATGCAATGGCACAAGTGACATTTTCAACCATGCAAGCTCTTAATCTACAAACTTCGCTAAAATCTTCTTATTGTCTCTATAATTTAATCCGTTAGATACGAGCCGGGAGATTATCTATAATATGTTCATATTTGGATTTTGTTTTCGTTAAATGTTCAGTACGCTAATCAATTTGAGTGCATTTATTTAGCGTGGATTAAGTCCTTATAAACTAGATAATTTCCCAAAAATGTAAAATGACGCCCTGCGGCTTTAATAACATATATACTATATACAATAAAAACAAATATTGTCGATTTTTACTAAACAAAAAATTGAAAGACAGTAACAGCATTAGTAATTCAAATCAATATGTACAACGGTAAGGTTAATAATGGAATAGCATATTTTATATAATAGAATCCTTTTTATATATTCTGGGTCGTAAAACATACAGAGACCAACTAAGTAACTGAATACATCCTAAGACAATAGAATAGCCACATAACAATAAAAACATCGTATCTTTAAGATTATCTATTGCTTCTGGGTCAAGTTTTCCCGCCTTGTGAACTTCATAACCATATCTGTTTAAAATGGCTACTGTTAACATTGGACACAGAGATTGAGCAGGTTTAACAATAAGAGCATTTGTTCCAAATACCATGGATGTCATCTGATGTCTGAAAAATTAAATAGAATAAGTTCTATATAAAAAAAAGAAATAATAAATTATAAAAATGAAATGATTAGCGTTCTACTGTTCTTCACCGACCTATGAGAGAAATTGTGTCTGAACATTTCCGCCCACTCTTCATCGAATTCCAAGTGCCAAGGGTTCTTTTACGTTTACTCCAACGGCTATACGTGGCATCGATTTCCATACCAACCGAACGACTAGACACTCTTTGTTTCCAGGCCCATCGTCCAGCAACATCGGCAATTGAAACCACGATGATAAATCCCGAGGAACTTTCTCGAACCTGCACTGTGTTTCATTGACCTTGTTCATCCAACAACATAAATTACAACATCAAGTACTCAGTTTCATGACCATAAAATTTTTAATCAAAATTAGCCTATACCTTCTCTTGTATTTTTCCATATCATGATCAGCTATATCTGCCAGTGGAAAGTTGAAAAAACCTCTTGCTGCTCCAGCAAAGGCACTGAAATATGAATTAAATACGCGAAGAGTTTGCGAGTGGTCATGGAGATTTGAGTTATATTTAATTGGGAAAATGAGTACGAAACATTCATTTCCAGTTTAATTCTAACTTCTCGGTCGAAAATAGCCAAATCAACAGAGACGATAACGAAGACATTTAATAAAAAAATATATAGCGATATATGAACCACCTAATTAAATGAGACATGGTATCGGGTGTTCTTGAACATGGTAAACATATCCCGCCAAGTATCCCACGCTATATAATATGACCGGTACTGTCTTGCGCCTGAATTTCAGAAGCTAAAGTCATACTTAGCGCCCTTGAGATATTTGGCTATCAGTAGAGGCACACTCAACTGACGGCAATTCATAAGTATAACACGAACAAAATTATGTTAATTTCACTAAGTATGACACTCTATCTATACAGTTTCTCGATAATGTATTGTCTCTTTTATTGCGTGAATTCGTGTTGCATATTGACATATTTCTGTCCTTTCTTGTGTGGTTCATGGCCACCGCTGTACATGATCATCTTGATTTAATTAATATCTTGTTCACGGTCTGTAACTGCGCCCATTAAGCGAATTATTTGGGCTATAGAAAGCCAATCTGATTAAAACACAAATTATATTTACTTGTCTTTACTACGCTAGGATCTGGGAGAGTAGTTATATTACCGGCGTTTTTTTCAAGTGAGGGGTTAGTCAATGAAACAGTCTGTTACGGCGACTTCTTGGCGTGCCATGTACGGAACTGTGGATAAACCACTAGAAACGCCAAAGCTGATTGATTAATCAATGTCTGACTTCATAGAGTCAGAAGCTGCTCGTACGACCCCTGACACAACCTTCTAGTACAAATTTTCAGATCTTCATGTAGTGTAGGCCATCGAATGTAAAAAAAAACGAAACGAAATATAGATCTGTATTTCAATCAGATTGATAGAAAACATAAAAAGGACAATAATAAAACAAAGATTTAGACCCTTGAATCAGGTGTTCCGGGTGCTGATTATCTATAATAACAGACTATAATAAAAGCGATCAATTATTTACCTATCTAATAAAACAAATATCATCATAATGACAACATATTGACGACCTAACACAAACATTATTAAACCGGAACATATTTTCCATATAAAACTCCATTTTATTGTTTTACTGTATCCAATATTTTGAACAAGTGGTACACCAAAGATAACAATCACCTGAAAATTAGATAGCAATTTGTAAAAGTTACATTTAATATGATTGACACGAGCGCCCATTTTAATATGCCCACATTTTATGTGGGGTACATTGTTGTGATAATAAACGAAGTCTCGATAATTCATTTTTAAATTAAATTATTAAATGGCGATTGTGTATTAATCCATTCAAAATCGCTGTACGTCCATCCGATATTCTAGAGAGTTAATTATGGGTTTGTCACGTGAATAAATACCTAGTTAATATAACATTTGAAGCCAAAACAAAGACCTGCAATGGGCTGATTTAGCTCTTACATTATGCTTTGTTAAGCAAATCCTACAGTAGTAAAAAATATAACCGACATTTCATCAAATTATTCCACCACCGTATATAATGTTTAGTGATTTGGGCAAAGTGGGTCATCACCACGAGCCATCTTAGCAGGAAATAGTCAGAATTTGTCTAGGAATGTCGATTAGCAAATCTGCTTAGTATTGGGTGTAAAATTTAATCATTCATTTAAAGCGAAATTATGGAAGATTAGTTAAAGAGCTTTCAGTTCGCACTATAATACACTTAGTTAAAAAAATAATATAAAGCGAACATGCGTAACATTTCTGTCAAATTACTTCACTCTGAGCCGAGAAATCCTTATTTTAATAAGGATGTAACATCGATTGTCATTGTTACCGTTGTTATGATAATAAACGAAGTCTCGCTTATCCATTTTTACGGTTAATCACCAATCGTCGTTGAACCGCAGATCAGATTCAAATCTTTTGAAAATCGTATCCATCAGATGGCAGGCATCGAGAGTTGATTATGGTCTTGTCATGTTATTAAATGTCTAATTAATAGTTTATATAACATTTAAGGCCCAACGAAAGACCTGCAATGTGGCAGATTTAGCTTTTGCATAATTCCTGTTTAATATTACAATTTAATTATAATAACAGTAATCATTGCTACAATGACCTGGCCACTATCAGTAAGGATAACCTTCCCCAATAACCATCATTCCACAAATACTAAAACTAAAACGTAACGTACCGATGTGGTGATATTCAGAGATCCATAAAATGTTTTTCGTAATGACGAGGATACAACATCGTCTGGTATTAACTCGTCACATATTATAGCAAGAAAATTCGATTTAAAAGTAAGTAAGAATGATTGTAAGAAATTTACTACAACGAAAGAAATAAAATTTCTCTCTGACAAAATCTGCCAAGTCAGGCGCCATACTGACAGTCCGGAAGAAGCTTCTTCTGGTTTTGTAGAATTGTCCTCCATTGGTGTCAAATCCCGTTCAGTATGAGCATATAATCCAGTATAGATCATCAATATGGCAGACACAATCGCTAACACAACTGCTGTGAACTGAAATGCCGGAAACGACTTCAAACTGTCGGATGTAAATTCACAGATAAACACAGAACATGATGATAAGAGAGCTGTGACGTTTGACCATTGCGTAAGCTGAAGACGTATCTTAGGATCCGAAGAAATCTCCGTGAAAAGACAGCAATGTGCCAACCCAATGAAAGTATAGAAAGTATCATATAAACACAAAGCTGTTATCAAATGTAACCCAGTGACCCACGTTCCATGAGCCCATGGAAACCATGTTATTATAAAACTCAAAGAAAATAATGGAGCCGTATACAAGATTGCTTCTCTTCTTGTTTTCGTCAATCTAAAATTTGCTGTATCTTGGAAATATGCAAATAAAGGGTCGTTTAGAGTATTCCACACTAAATACAACATTTGAGCAAACTGGAACCATCCTTCCTCAATCTTATAATAGTTGAGAAAAACTTTCACATAATAAAAGCCAAAAACTGAACTCAACACTGAAAATCCAAAGGAGGTGGCACAATAGGCCAACATCCTTTGCTTGAGTGTCATTCTGCTGTAGATCCGATGACTTAATCCCTCTCATATGCTATAAGGCTGGAATGAATAATAAAATGTCTCAAACGAAATAACGGTTCTGTAATTGAAGAGCTATGGGGTTAATAATCAATATACTCACCCATATATCAATGGGACTACATATAATAGAATTATTAAACATGGATTTCAGATATATAGACGAGAGGGCGATAACACTGGTTATGCCTTGATTAGTTTCGAATATTTATTGGTCGGACGAAACCCATCCTTGTGGTGGAGATGGGCGTCGGCACCCAACAGTGCATGGAGATGAGAAATGCATCACGACCTATCATAATATCGCTTTTACCAGGGGTTGCTTCATATGCACAATGTATGAATCTTACCGTACACCGGATAGAATATCCAAGATCATATTGTTAAAACCATTTCTCTAACACACACGTTTATAATCGATATTTAACATTTTACATTATTAGATTATAGTATTACCCTGTTCTGTTTTGTATGTTTAACGCCCTACACAAATTTGATCAATCTACTCCGCCATTTTTTTTTTGTTACAACAATAAATATAACATCTAAACTAACATTAATAAACAACTATGTTTTAGCACGATCCATAAAATGAACACGACAACGCGCACGTCAATCTTGCAATCCTTATGAGTAGATAGATAAGCATATTAAAATTATGTTTTTACACCTTTGAAATGCGTATTATATATTAGCCTCATGGTTGAAAACATAAAAAGAATAATATTAAATAGATTTAAAATGTCAGAGTGATCTTTCCATTGACGCTGTTTGCTAGAGTCGTGTCATTTAGATATTCATACAAGAAGTAAAAATAGCTATAATACAATATGTTGCGCACAGGTGCTTGAATGGTTAAAGTAGCTTAGTCTCCAACTCAAATCATCCAAAATCTTCCACATTGAAAACACCAATTATTTGTCAGTTAAAATCAACATTGATGTTGTGAACTTACCGGGAAAAGATGGGCTACTGATATCAAATATTTAAGACATAATAAACATTTTACCATTGGTACACGAATCGTGTACCACAATGCGTTTCGGTGTCATTTTTAACCAGGGACAAGAAAGAACGAGACTAGAAATTCCATAAGTCATGCCAAGCGCTGACGCCATATTCTTATATGGAAAGCATGCGCAATAGACTGGAATAACCAGACGCTAGAGATTGATATTCGACTGAGACTTCTGGCGTATTTCACCGAACATAACTGATTTGAAATTAGGGTAAAACCGGAAACGATAGAATGTAAATCAGATCATATACATTCAGATAACATTATTGTATGCGTTGCGACCTATTTGTGTCAATTTCTAGGTCCGAAATATTAGCGATTTAGCACCTTTAAGTTTGGTCATAACGGCCCCAAATGTGGTCATAACGGCCAAATTATATTACAAACACAATAGTCTAGTCGTTTGAATGGGAAGAAAAACCGAGGTCCCGTGTACACATTGGCGAGCATGTAAAAGTTCCCTTGACAGTTGGAATTCGATATAAGAGGAGGCTGTAGTGTCGTTGTCCGGGCAAAATTTTCCTCATAGCACTGTATGGCGTATGCCTGTCTTCATTAATCCAGTTTGGAGCAAAACAGTAGGACGTTAAACTCCATTTCATTTCATTTTGTCCGTTTTGACCAAATTGTTTGGTCGTTATGATCAAAATGTTAGGGCGTTTTGACTACAAAATTTAACCGTCATCGTTTAAGGCAGTTATGTCCATGACCATAACCTTTAATGGGATGTGATAAAAAAATGGCAGAAAATCAAACAAGTTTTGTTCGTTAGTGATTAGCCAAATATAATTTTAAAATGGAAACAAATACGTGTACTAAGTGAATTTCCGTCAGTCAATATTGCCATACTAGTTTTTCGGAAAAATATTGCCAGACGTCGCTCAGTCAGGGGTGGAGAGCGATCAGCCCCGGGAATATTCAAGTAAATGGCAGTACTCTTTGGTGGTCTGTATCCAGTTGAATAGTACGATTTGCCTCCCTTGAACCAATAATAACCATTTTCTCACAGGTGAGATTTACGCGTCATGTTGCAAATATGTCACCAGGTGTCGCCTGTACCTGTAATTTAAGTTAGTCAGATAAGAAGCCATTATTGACATCAAGAAACGTAACAAATTTCGTTTTAAACAACAAGTGATCGTCAAAATGACGGAAACCTCTTTAGAAATCCTGTGGAAAATATATTTCGTTTGTCTTTCTCTGCTATTTTTGGCGGGAATAGGTGAGTCTAGGGGTTATAAACAGATATTTTTTATGAATTTGAAACACATATTTTGTGTAGTTTTTTGGAGGTACCAAAACTTCATGTATCCACCATACTATCTCATAATGCTAAACCTTTCATTTTCAAGGAAAGAGATCATTTAACCAGGGTAGTAATTTCTTTGCACGTAAGTCAAGTGTGTACCTAAAAGTAGCGACCGGCAGCTATTTTTAAATATTATTTTCTTCTTTAGAAGCTTGTTATTTTCCGAAAGCTGTACATCTTAGTATTGTAACAACACCAAGTTTATGAAAATCGGAGCAGAATTGACTGAGTTACTGCCCATTTAGTAACGCAAACTGGCAGACCCCTTGTTCGCAAAATTGACCATTTTGCTTCAATTTTCAACCCCACTTCATATCTCAGAAACCAAAAGTCCTAGAGACATAATTATTTCACCAAAATAAAGCTAATTTACGCACCAAGACAATCATGCAAACCCATTACACATAGGTTGAGAAGTTTATTTTCTAATGTTTGCAATAACCGTACAGAAGATTAAATAATTACGTAAACTTGAACTAGCTACAAGCAGCTATTTTTAACTATTAATTTGTTGTCTATAACACTATTATTTTCCCAAAGCTGTATATCTCAGCATTGTAACAAGACCAATTTGTTAAAAATTGGAGCAGAATTGACGGAGTTGCTGTCCGTTTAGTAACGCCAACTGACAGACCCCCCTTTTCGTGAAATCGGCCATTTTGCTTCAATTTTCAGCCCCACTCCATATCTGAGAAACGAAAAGAGCTAGAGACATAATTATTTAACCAAAATGAAGCTTATTTATGTATCAACACAGTCATACAAGCACATGACACATACCTTGAATAGTTTATTTTCTGAGGTTTGAAACACCGGTACAGAAAATTAAATAGTAACTTTAACTAAACATAAACATAATCAATAATGATACAATATTATCTCAAAATATTTAAAAACAAAACTTCGTAGTAAAGTATTCAAAACAGAATAAGAATAAAAATAAAATGAAAATATTACCCCCCCCCCCAAAAAAAAAAAAAATAAAAAAAAATGCTATCCCGCCAAAAAATTAAAAAAGCAAACAAATTATTTATCAATCAGGATCATATTTATTTATCAAGCTAATTGTATTAAATAAATCGACATGAAATATACTTTTCTTCCAAAGCTGGCACTCCCCTAGGTACCAAAACGCAGTTCTACCATACTACTGAAAATACTAAAGATTTTAAAAAATTATGTCAATTAAAAGTTTATGATATAGCCAGCACAGCAATATTATTATGCATACCAAACTGTATATTCATGTATTTATGATTTATTAATCTATATATTTTAATCTCACACTCATCATTCATAAATACACAATCCTGCAAAATTAAATTAATACCTATATGCAACAGGTAAACATATTTTCTTCCCAAGCATTATGGAACACTAAATGCTGTCAACTATAATGGACTGTATTAATTCAATTTTCAAAAATTGCATCTGCATTTTAAATTACACTTAAAAATCTAATTATACATACTGAACGACAAGCAACATTTATTTTGTCAAAGTCAGTTGAGGTATTAACTGTGGTCTGTACCCGTATTGTGATGGAGTTGCGTCCCTTTGGAATCAGACACGGTGCCGATTTCCAGGAATTGCCACTTTCCACGGGTGTTTCTGTCCTCAGCAATAGTTTAGATCACTAATTTAGTGTTTATTTTCATAATTGTAAGTAAAACTTTGAGCGTATCAGCGCGTATCAGGCAATTTCAATAAAAAAGAAAACTTCAACAATTTATTAAAAGTCAACTTACCGCATGTCAACCGGGTGTTTCCGTCCTCAGCAATAGTTTACATCACTAATTTAGTGTTTATTTTCATAATTGTAAGTAAAACTTTGAGCGTATCAGGCAATTTCAATAAAAAAGAAAACTTCAACAATTTATTAAAAGTCAACTTACCGCATGTCAACCGCCGTTAACCATTTTTTCAGACACGCTTGGATATTCTCTAAGAGAATCACTCAGTTTCCGACCCAAACTCCGTGATTGAGCGTTGCTTTGATAATTTGAGGAGGAGGGGGGCAAGGAACAGTGCTAGTCAATAGCATGGGTGCATGTAAAAGAACCCTTAACCACCAGGGCAAAATTTCCCTCATTCCCTATCTTCATTAGTCAGGTTGGTGGAGAAAAGTAGTAGCCTACGTTCAACCCTGTTTCACCGCCGACGAAATAACTGTTATTAAATTCATTATCCTAACTATTTTAGCCAACCATTTCTGCACTATTTCACTTGGGTCAAATCATCCATTGGATCCCAGGGGCAATCCTATTCCTCCAAATCGGTATTGGATGGTATTGATGCAGTGGCTTTGTATTTGAATGTATTTTGTAAGTCCTCTGCATATACATGTACATCATTGGTCTATGGTATTAAGTTATTACAGACTAAAATTATTTTATTAACAGGGGATGCAAAGGAATGTTACCAATGTAATTCAACTCTAGATTCTAACTGTCAGGATCAGTTTGATCATAGTATAGCTAATCACCCCCAGAAGTCCATGTACTGTAAGATGCATGATGCTAAATTCTGTATAAAAGTTACTGGTTTATGGGGAGGTAAGTCATGTAAAATTTGTAGAATATAAATGTACATATAATCCTATAATGAACAGATATCCGGTAAGAGAAGAAAAGTAAAAATGTGAACTGAAGAATAATTCCATATTGAAAAGTACATGTAATCAAGATTTATGATCTAAAAAGACATTGGAATAATACCCACCCCACCCAGGACCCCCGCCTTTGAACACTCTGTTTATGTTTAAATTTATGTAGTCTTGTGAACACAGTACTTGGGACAGTTCATTTGGGATTGTTCATTGTGACATATAAAAGAAACATATTGAATGTTCACGTTTTGATTGTTAAATCTTGTGAACACAATACAGAAAAAACTTTGCAATGGATTTGTTAAAACTTGGTAGGATTATTCGTATTGAGGCATAACTTTATTGTAGCTGTGCATCACAACAGTAGCATGTAGAGGTTTTAATGCAATGGGGAAAACTTCTAGATTGTATTTCTCCAAGATTCAAGTACCATATATTGCCTTGTTCTCAGAAATGTGAGAAAGCAAGACATTGTAAATACAGATGAAATAAAACTTTTGTTCAAATTAAGTTGGACAGCTTGCACAATAAAGTTACCAGTGATAATTTAAAAAAACATATATTATACTAGCTTCGCCCACTTGAAATTAAGTTGATATATTGATGCAAGTTGTTATTATATTTTTAACAGGAGTAGTTGGTACTCACAGATTCTGTAGTTCTAGAGATATGGGTGATCAGTGTCAAGATATTGGTTATATGGATCATGATAGAATGTATCGAGCCTGT